CTCATTTGCTCTCTTTTTACATTGCTTCACCACTCTCTTAACCTCTCTCTTTTTCTCCATATACTCTTCCCTCCTTGCCTCACTTCTACTTTGTAAAAACTTCTCATATGCTAACTTTTTCTCCCTTACTACTCTCTTTACATCATCATTCCACCAATCGCTCCTCTTCCCTCCCGCACCCACTTTCCTGTAACCACAAACTTCTGCTGAACACTCTAACACTACATTTTTAAACCTACCCCATACCTCTTCGACCCCATTGCCTATGCTCTCATTAGCCCATCTATCCTCCAATAGCTGTTTATATCTTACCCTAACTGCCTCCTCTTTTAGTTTATAAACCTTCACCTCTCTCTTCCCTGATGCTTCTATTCTCCTTGTATCCCATCTACCTTTTACTCTCAGTGTAGCTACAACTAGAAAGTGATCTGATATATCTGTGGCCCCTCTATAAACATGTACATCCTGAAGTCTACTCAACAGTCTTTTATCTACCAATACATAATCCAACAAACTACTGTCATTTCGCCCTACATCATATCTTGTATACTTATTTATCCTCTTTTTCTTAAAATATGTATTACCTATAACTAAACCCCTTTCTATAAGCTCTGATAACTCTATCCACTCATTTGCAAGTCCCAAATGAGTGGATAGAGTTATCAGAGCTTATTTCTTGGGTAGCACTGAGGACTGGGTTGGGAAAATGTTTCGTTAGTGGGATGAATTGTAAAGGACCTGCCGAGCATGGGCCAACAGGCCTGCTGCAGTGATCCTCCTTCCTTATGTTCTTATGTTCATCAACCACTATCACAACTGCTTCCACTCTACCACCACCATCTTTGTATTTTTCTACAAAGTTTTTCATAAATAATGTGTTTCTCACATTCTTTACCAAAGGGCTGGCACTAGAAGCTTTCTTTGGTGGTAGAAGGTAGTAGTGATGGTGGTAGAAGGTAGTAGTGATGGTGGTAAAAGGTAGTAGTGATGGTGGTAACAGTTGTAATAGTGGTAGAAGGTCGTAGTGATGGTGGTAGTGGGTTCCTTCTTTAGTGATTCAGTGAAACTACCAACTCCTCCAATGTTGTAATAAAGTTGGTAGAATTACCGACAATATGTAAAGTAAAAGGACACAAGTGCAACTAATGTGACATTTTATTGTGGCAACGTTTTGCTCCCCAGGAGCTTTATCAAGCCATTACAAACAATACATGGACACAGAGGGTATATAAAGGCTCAGAGTGAGGTGCAATACTAGTGAGGTACCATTTCGATGTTCACTAGTGGTAGTAGTAGTAGTAGTGACAAAAGTAATACAATATGGTAGAGCAATTAATTCGTACATGAGTAAAAGGATATAAAAGCTATTACTTGGGTAACATAAAAATAGGTTGGACAAATATAGAGTGGAAAGAGGCAGCTTGTTTCAGTGTTTACTCTCTGTAATGTGCTTTGTGTAGTATAACAGGAGAGACTATGTGATGGCAGGGTTTACTGTTTTCAGGAGGATTCTTGCTAAGACTTCGGAGATGGTGAAGCTGCTGTTGTTTTGTTTAATTGTATTCGAAACAGCGATCAGTGCTGATTCGAGGCACTTGCATCTGCGGAAATTAGTTTCTTTGATCACTAATTGGGCGTCTCTGAATTTCATGAGATGATTGGTGGAATTTCGGTGTTGTACACAGGCGTTGTTCAAGTTATCGTTCCTACATGCGTAAATGTGTTCATTGAGGCGGGTGTCGAGGTTTCTTGCTGTTTCACCTACGTAAATCTTGTCACAGCCTCCACAGGGTATAATGTAAACTCCTGCATTGACTGGTTCGTGGTGCTTGGACTTCGTCCTGGTTAGATCCTTTATTGAAGTGCTAGAAGCGATGGCGACTCTGGTGTTAGCTTGTGAAAGTACTTTTGAGACGTTCAATGCAACCTGGCAGTTGGGAAGAATTATAACTTTGTTGGGAGTGATGTTGATGCGTGGAGAATTAATGATCTGAAGAGCTCTTTTCTTGCAGTCTTTGATGAAAAAAGAAGGAAAATGTAACTCAGTGAATGTTTGGTGAATGTATGTACATTTCTCGTCAAGAAACTCAGGACTACAAATTTGGTATGCTCTAGGTGTTACATGGAACACCTAGAGTCCAAACACTTCGCCAACATCATCCCTTCAAGCGTCACTTGGTTACGTTACGTGAACGACGTCCTCGTAATAACTCCCAAACGTTTTGATGTACGGAATCTTCAGGCAAGGCTCAACGCAGTTGAACCGGCGATCCAGTTTACACTAGAAGAAGAGTCCAATGACAAGCTACCTTTCCTCGACGTCCTCATTCACAAAGTAGACAACAACTTAAGATTTCAAGTTTATCGGAAACCCACCAATAAAAATGATCTCACACACTTCTATTCCAGTCAAGATACCAAGACCAAAAGAGGCATCATCATCGGGTTTTTCCTAAGAGCATACCGAATTTGTAGTCCCGAGTTTCTTGACGAGGAATGTACATACATTCACCAAACATTCACTGAGTTACATTTTCCTTCTTTTTTCATCAAAGACTGCAAGAAAAGAGCTCTTCAGATCATTAATTCTCCACGCATTAACACCACTCCCAACGAATTTATAATTCTTCCCAACAGCCAGGTTGCACTGAACATCTCAAAAGTACTTTCACAAGCTAACACCAGAGTCGCCATCGCTTCTAGCACTTCAATAAAGGATCTAACCAGGACAAAGTCCAAGCACCACGAACCAGTCAATGCAGGAGTTTACACTATACCCTGTGGAGGCTGTGACAAGATTTACGTAGGTGAAACAGCAAGAAACCTCGACACCCGCCTCAATGAACACATTTACGCATGTAGGAACGATAACTTGAACAACGCCTGTGTACAACACCGAAATTCCACCAATCATCTCATGAAATTCAGAGACGCCCAATTAGTGATCAAAGAAACTAATTTCCGCAGACGCAAGTGCCTCGAATCAGCACTGATCGCTGTTTCGAATACAATTAAACAAAACAACGGCAGCTTCACCATCTCTGAAGTCTTAGCAAGAATCCTCCTGAAAACAGTAAACCCTGCCATCACATAGTCTCTCCTGTTATACTACACAAAGCACATTACAGAGAGTGAACACTGAAACAAGCTACCTCTTTCCACTCTATATTTGTCCAACCTATTTTTATGTTACCCAAGTAATAACTTTTATATCCTTTTACTCATGTATGAATTAATTGCTCTACCATATTGTATTACTTTTGTCATTACTACTACTACTACCACTAGTGAACATCGAAATGGTACCTCACTAGTATTGCACCTCACTCTGAGCCTTTATATACCCTCTGTGTCCATGTATTGTTTGTAATGGCTTGATAAAGCTCCTGGAGAGTGAAACGTTGCCACAATAAAATGTCACATTAGTTGCACTTGTGTCCTTTTACTCCTCCAATGTTGTTGGAGTTATAATGGGCTACAAAAACCACCGCCAACTCAGCTGCTGCTTCACCACCATTAGGGACGGCTTACACTCAGTGGCCCTTATACACCCAACAACAACACAACACAACACCTCTCGTGACATACGTAATGACTTATTTTATTCATTCAAGAGTATATTCCATGTTCCTATGTTATTAATATTGTTTATTATGTCATATTAGTTGAATTGTGATAGATAAATAAGCCAGAGTTGATATTAGTGTCATATTCTCCAACAATAAACTTGCCATCCCTCCCTCACACAAACAAATAGCCAATAAGAACATAATGGAAGAACACTGCAGGTCTACTGGCCCATACAAGGCAGGTCCTTATCAAAATGACTTCCACCCAAAGCTACCCAAGAATTTACTCCCGTACCCAATGACACAAATAAAACTCAGCTCCTCCAACTCGTATATTTTTCCAATCTCTTCTTAAAGCTACCCAAGGTCCTAGCCTCGATCACCCTACTGGTAAGTGTGATGTTAAATAAGAACTTAAGAAAGTAGGAACACTGGAACAGGCCTGCTGGCCCATACTAGGCCGTTCCTTCACAAATCCAACCCACTAACAGAATGCTACCCAAGCAATAAACTCAGGTGCAAGTCCGACTCAAATCCAACCCCTCTCACTCGTGTATTTATCCAGCCTAAATTTTAAACTACCCAAGCCATAGCTTTTAGAACATTGGAAAGGAGGAACACTGCAATAAGCCTGTTGGCCCATACTAGGCCGGTCCTTCACAAATCCAACCCACTAACAGAACAAATGCTACCCAAGCAATAAGCTCAGGTGCAAGTCCAACTCAAATCCAACCCCTCTCACTCGCGTATTCATCCAACCTAAATTTGAAACTACCCAATGTTTTAGCTTCGATCACCCTACTAGGCAGACCATTCCACTCATCAACTACCCCTATTACCAATGTTCATTTATACATTTTATTAGTGCCCTGGAGTCCTTATGGAGGGGGATTCCCTTTCCAAATAACCTCTCTTCCCTCTCCTCCTCCTCCCTGTCTTCCATTCATCAACAACAGCCTTCAATAAAGGTAACTGTCATGTTGAATGTTCATTCTTTTGTGCATGTAAATCTAACTTTTAGGTAAAAAGAAATTTTTTTGTTGATACTTCTAGGTGTTGGGAACGAATTAATTGGATTTACATTATTTCTTATGGGGAAAATTGATTTGAAAATCGTCCATTTCGATAATAGTCCCACTTCCAGGAACAGATTATGGACGATTATTGAGGGACCACTGTATATAATTTTTTTTAACACACTGGCCATTTCCCACCAAGGCAGGGTGACTCCAAAAAAAAAAAAAAATTCATCATCATTCAACACTTTCACCATCATTCATACACAATCACTGTCTTTGCAAAAGGTGCTCAGATACAACAATTTAGATGTCCCTCCAAACTGCCAATATCCCAAACCCCTCCTTTAAAGAGCAGGCATTGTACTTCCCACTTCCAGGACTCAAGTCCGGCTAACTGGACTACCCTTCTTACCTCTAATGTTTCCTCTGCCTGAGCAAGTAAATCCTTTTGGTAAGCTATGTAATCATGTAGCATACGAGCCACTGCTTTTCGCGCCTCCATCTCTTCTGCCAGGCGTTTGTTATATGCCTCCAGCATAGACAGTGCTTCTTCCACCTGCTCACAAAGGGCTCGTCCAGCAGCTAAGTCTACCACAAAAAAAGAAACAAAATAACCTTAGTGGAGTCAACAGACCATGAACCCAATTAAAAAAAAAAAAACTAATTTAAAAAATGCTACTTTTGCCATTCAAATATAATTAATGTAATATTTAAATGGCTACAATCATATGACACGCCATACCACGGGCGGGATTGAACCCGCGGTCAGAGACTCTCTGACCGCAGCTTCAATCCCGCCCGTGGTATGGTTTGTTTGCAATCGTGTCATTACGATTTCGTGAGTCATATGACACGCCACACAGAAGCAAGAGCTAAGCTAAGCGCAAATAAACTTCCGGATGTAAAACTTTTTTGCTAAATACTTCAATATACGTGTGAAATTTTCTAGAAATGCCAACACCTATATATCACTTTCCACAAATATAATAATAATTATGCTAGCACCTCCTTGGATACCTGAAGCCAAGTCTGGGATATTCAAAGATGCAATTTATTTAGTGGGTGTTTGCTACTGTTCCCCTGCACAACACAGTTTTTGCTTCATTCTCAAGCACTGCTATGAAACTATAAGCAAGGAGCATTTTCATGCATATATTTTAAAAAGGGTATCAACAAATACTGAGGTGTTGTAATAAAAACAAATGCTCGGAACCATCTATTAGCAGATAAAAAAAAATTAATACAAAAGAACTAAATAATTACCACTTGCTTTTTGTGGGTTCTTTTGTATGCACATTCCCTTGTATATGACAAGTCTATTTCTAGCAACCATTTGCACTGTGCTCCATGAGGAAATGGAAAAGAATCCTCTGTAAGCCATGCATGTTGCAAGTGGGGACTAAAATGCCGAGAGAAAGGGGCTAGTAACCCTCTTCTCCTGTACAAATTACCACATGTAAAAACAAACACTTTGGTTTTTCTTTTTAGGTAACCATGCCTTGGTGGGAGACAGCTGGTGTATTGAAACAATTGCACTGTGGTGAAAATCCATTTTTATGCAATTAGCACATTTTGCACAAGAGGTGCACACTGTGTGGAGCTTGTAGTATACATTACACTGTTGGAGTTCTGATATGGTTAAGTTTCTCTTATATAATTTCTTAGGTTTTTTATTAAATACATTTACTTTTGGTGGTGTTTTTCCTTGGCACATATTCACATGTTTCAAAAACTGAGCATTGCTCTCTTTAAACAATTTCATATTCACTATGGGTCTGCAATAGATATTACCAGAGGTGTGCCAACACTTGTGAATCCAATCAATATCTGCTGAATTTACAGGAATGCACCAGGAAAAAATCACAAATACAGTCTCTCCTTACTTAGCGACATACTCGTTTACCGACGACTCGGACTTACGACGGGCTCTCTGACCAGTATGCATACCTAAATAATGTATATTAGAGCTGATTACTTTCTCTTTCATCAAACTGGCTGTATCCCATTGAAGCAGGGTGGGCCAAAAAGAGAAACGAAAGTTTCTCTTTTTAACTTTAGTAATGTATACAGGAAAAGGGGTTACTAGGCCCTTGGTCCCGGCATGTTAGTCGCCTCTTATGACATGCATAGCTTATGGAGGAAGAATTTACTGTTAAACATTTAAAAAATACTGAAAATGTTATAAATGGTGCAAAGGTGACATTAAAACAATATCAGAGATGGTCGACACACTACCATTATAGTATGCTCCTTGCTTAGCGACGTGGTCTTAGGAACGGAACTCCATTGTTAAGTGAGGAGAGGCTGCACACTGCTGCATAATAAACATTCTACTACTTCAGGCCATGATACAAAATTCCTAATGCTGCCACTGTATTAATGATACGTTATAACGGGAATACAACACACCTTGTAGTTTATTAAGAAGAGTTACATCAGATACTTCGTCAGGAAGATTAGCAATCTTCTCACGAATAAGAGCATCAGATGTGGCTGCATTTTCCAACTCCTGAAAGATGAATATAGTATATTATTCAAATGCTATCAGAGAAGCTTTTATATAAGCCAAGAGATACTTAATGACATAATAAACTTCTGCTGGTAAAATTACAACAACTTTAAATGTGAAGTTTGTGCAACCAAAATAATTCCTGATAATTCTAGTCACTATACTCTCAAATATAGTATGACTACATTAGTCAAATGTTTACATTACAAGAGATGAGACACTCATGCATCATTTAGGTATCTTTATTCCGGAAACGTTTTGCCTGCTAGTGGCTTCTTCAGTCCAATGCAGAGAAAGATGGAAGATGAGCTGAGGTAATCAGTCGCTAAGTCTGGAGTGGATGTGTTCAGTCCACCAAGGCTGAGAAACTGATTACCTCAATGTTGCACAAGTGTCTCATTTATCAACTTGCTGATTTTCTAAACCATTAATTCAAACATTATAGGTGAAACATTGCAAGTGAAGTACCTGAAGAGCCTCTATCAACTGCTCAGGTTCAGGAGGATCACTTGGTGGTGTACATGACTGGGGTGAGACGGCAAACTGGCTTGTGTCTCCTTCACTATCTTTATGCACCCTAGGTTCAGGTGTAGTCGATGGTTCGATGGAGTCACTGCAACTATCTCTTCGTTTTTTGTTTACCGGAGTATCAACTTTCCCTGATAGAGACATGGACAAATTTCAACAGGAAAAAAAAAAACTGAAGAAAAAGAACACTGGTACTTAGTGGGAGCACAATAGTATCCCAATAAAAGCTTGATCTGCAGTCTTTTCTTTAAGTAATGCCCTAACTAAAATTGCTAAATACTGTACAAATTTCTCATTCATAATCCTAATACAGTGTAGAGAGTTGGGTATAACAAGACAACACTTGTATTCAACATACCTGGGTACACAGCCATTCACAACTGTAGACCAAAGAAAAAGGTAGGGTAACTAATTTACTACAAAAATGAGATGCTATGTACATGTACAGTACAAATATTGTAAGCACTAGAGATGCATATGGTGAACACATATTTACACAAATTGTCACCAACATTATTACTACTGTTATTATTATTATTATTTATTATTCTTATATTCAAAGAAAGCACAAACCCTGTGTGGGTCATCCACTGCTATATGGCAAAAAGTTGCTGAAGTTAGAGAGCAGAAGTATGGTGGGTGAGCACAAGGCACTAAACACTTATGCTTCATGCAGAGAAACATGCCAGCATGCTGTTGTTAGAGGAATGTTAAGTATAGATACAAGGGTGACAGAGAGGAGTCATAATTAGTGAGATAAATCAGGTTGAGTTAATGAATTATACAGTGTATCTATATTAATGGTGGAAATTTTAGAGAGAAAACTGTGTAAGCATGTCTAGGGGGTTGAAGGAGTGGTCAGAAATAAAGTCCATGCACTTTCTGGTGAATGGGAGCAATCTATCAAAAAATTGGTAAATGGTCAGCACAAAATGACAGTTTTCACACTGAAGCTGAGTGCATCATGTATGAATTAAATGTGTCCAATAAGCAGCTACAAGAATATGATTTTCTTCAACTGACACCTATGAAAGGAGTAAACCATACCACGGGTGGGGATAGAACCCGCGATCAGAGTCTCAAAACTCCAGACCATCGCGTAGCCACTGAACAGTGGCTAACGCGACAGTCTGGAGTTTTGAGACTCTCTGTCCAGTGGCTAACACGACAGTCTGGAGTTTTGAGACTCTGATCGCAGGTTCTATCCCCGCCCGTGGTATGGTTTGTTTGCAATCGTGTCATTACAATTTTGTGAGTCATGAAAGGAGTAAGGTCAGAAGCCCAAATAAGGGTAAGGAACAAGTGAAATTCACTAGAGGAGCAGGCAGTGGAGGCAAAACTCCATACAGTAATTAAAATTTAAGTATAACAGAACTCAAGGGGTTGGGGATGTATCACATCAGATGGCACTGACTGAGAAGCAAGGTTCTGGATGTGGAACTCAAGAACTTGCAGTTAATCACATTGGTTGACAATGGAAAATGGCAAAGCACTAATACTCTTTATAAAGAAAAAAAAGTCATCAAGACCCTTCAATTTGAGGCTGGTTTCATTAACAGATGTTGTCAAGAAAGCTTTAGAGAATGTTATTTAAATAGATAAGAGATCCAAGAGTAACACCAAATTGATGAATAATTTGTATTTAGAACTGCAAAGCCTTACACAAAAAATAAACACATACAGTAGGACCCCTGTATCCGCAGGGGATACATTCTAAGGACCTGCCGTGGATACTGAAACCATGGATAGCAGCAAACCCTATATATAAGTCCTATACATACCTATTATAAAGTTTAATTGATAAATTATGCACAATAAGTGGAGAATTATCACTTTTTCACTGATGGGAAGTACTTCATGGTTTTTCTCAGACTTCTGAAGAACTGCCAGCTTCTCTACTTTTACACTTTAGGGCCATTATTATGCAAAATTAAAAGATATTTTTGGGCCACAGTAAACAGTGAACAACTGAAACCTCGGATACTGAATCAGTGACTATGGGAGTTCTACTGTATTATGATAGGTAGGGAAATGCGTACTCTAATATAAAAACAAAAACAGACGGGCAGACTGCACTTACAATGCCTATACAGATTTCCAAAATGGTTTTAGTAGAATACCAGATGGAAAATTAATACAGTATTAGAATTACAAAAGTGTACAGAGCTAAGGGGTGAGTTGTCAGAATGAATGAGAGATGTCTTTGTATTCAATAAAATGCAAACATGACAAGAGAGCAAGTCTTCACGAAAAAGACTATAAATGGGGAACCAAAATAATCAGTGCTTTCCATAATAATCTTTCTACTCAATGACTTTCCAAAATTAATAAATAATTATACAATTTTGTTTGCATAACATTTTTAAGCAAAATAAAAAATGGAAAGAACTGCAAAGCATATCAAGAATATTTAGACATAATGAGCAGCATATAGATTATATACAGGTATAGGTTTATTGTGACAAATGCCATATACAGGAATAGAGATGGAGTATAGAAAAATAATCCCCACAAAAATTTCAGATTATGTGACAGAATCTTGAAAGTTTCTAATAAAGTATTGTGATTATACAGTATATTATATATGAAATTTATCCTCAGATAGCTACATAAATACAGTGGCAAGAGAATGAGGTGCAATAACTGCTTACTATAAGGGCTAGGCAAATTAAGAAATACAATACGTACACAGAAGAATTATTCACAGCATATATGGAACCCTAATAGGGGCATGCGCCTGTAATATTTTTTAAAAAGAAAATTACAATGTAAATAAAACAGAAAATATTTACAGACTTGCAACAAAATGTATCCTAGAAATATGAAGACGGAAAACAGAAATGATAGCCATCTAAAAGTTCATAGGGAATGCAAGAAAACAGATGGGAAAAGTTCCTTGTGCAGTATCAAACACAGAGAGGACGTCATTTTTTGCAAACAGTGGTATAGGATTGTTTCAATGTACTCTAAGAGAAGGTAATGTGTGCTATTAATTCTTGGGAGGAAGTACACAGTAAGCTGTTCCAAATCAAGAAGCAGGAGCAAAAGTAGCAAATAATACTGTACTTACCACTAGGTTCTCGTTTCTTGGGAGTGGTCTCCTTCAATTTCCCTTTCTCTAGAATAAAAATTAAAACCATTATCAATTTAATCTCTGATATTTTTAATTTGAGTGCTATAAAAAACACTAGTACTTTAGTAACATTAATGGATAGTGACAAATAGTTGTCTGAAACCCAGATAAAACAAGAGTACTGTACACTATATATACAGTACTGCATTGTCTTCATTAATCACTGGGGAATAAAAATGATCACTGGAATCATCAACAGATATTTCACTATCTACATCTTAAGAACCTCAAAGTACTATGGGAGACTGACTAATTTGGAAAACAATATGTAAATAAACATCTGACAAAACTTTTCTTCTACATTCTTAACTCACTGAGTGTTTTACAAGCATAAAATGTAAACAGCAAATTGAACTCTGAACCAAACTACATTTGAAGTGCTCAAATGTTCTGAGTTTTTAAAACCTTCATGTCTGTTTATTTATCCACATCTGTGTATATCAGTATAGTATTTATCAACATCTTTAACATCTTTCAGTACATTAGTATATTTATCAACATATTTCTGTATGTCAGTAGAGTGTATTTATCTATATTTACCTAGATTTTTTTTGAATGAGCTGATCTGTTCTGCATCAAATACACTCCTATCTTCCCATACATTCAGCAATCTGTTGAGGCCCCTTATGGATTTATCATCCAAGCGTAGGCCTCCTAAATGCTCGAACACTTTACCAAGCTTGTTCCCAAACTCCTTGTTGTACTCTGGGCCTTTCTTCTTACTGTTTTGTATCACATCATTTGCCAGGTACATGAATGTCAGCTTGCGAGAATCAGTTGCTGAAATTTAGTGGAAAAAATGTTAACATTCAAAGTTCTTATATAACCAAGTTGCACTGCTCCTAATACGTATGTGGATTAAAAGAATGAATAAATGGATTTGAAGAAACTTATGTACACACACAACAGAAAAATGCTATTTTAAATTTTCCACACATATAACAATGTGAAATCAATACTGCATCTTAATTTAAAAATGGATAAACGTCAGATAAAGACTGAGAACCATAAAAGCTTGGTATCTATGAAATAAAAAAAACTGCCAATGCCTTTGATTCTATAGCAATGAATATAAGGCAATTTGTACAAAATGTTAATATATAGAGGGACTAGTCCCAAATCTGTACATGGAAATCACTCTTCACAAAAGCAAAAGACTCGGCAAGCAGTACAACATCCCCCCAATGAAAAGCAGGGGAGCCATGAGTATGTTAAGAGACAACACAGTAAGTGTCAGAGGCCTAAAACTGTTCAACTGCCACCCAGCATACATAAGGGGGAATTCCCAATAGACCCTTGGCTGTTTTGAGAAGGAGCGGGACAGGCACCTAAAGTCAGTTCCCAACCAACCAGGCAGTGGTTTGTATGTTGGTTTGTGTATGGCTGGCAGTAACAACCTGGTTGATCAGGCCCTAATCCAATGCGAGAACTGGTCATATGTCGGGTCATGGGAGCATTAACCCCCCTGAACACTCTCCAGGTAAATCATTCACTCACACTCATTAATTCTGTCCCTTTTACCCTCACCACTCCATCCTCATGCATGCTCATATGTATATATTTATCTATCTATATCTATCCATCCATCTATACTGATTTATTTATATCTGTTTATAGCTATGTATATTTATTTACACTCACTCTCACCCTCTCTCTTCTTTTCCTTCTCACTCATTCTCTCTCTCTCTCCCCGCGTTCCTTTCTCGCTCCTCCTCATTCCTCTACCCTTCCTCCCCTCTCTCTCTCCCTCCTCACCTTTCTCTGTCTCTCTCCTCCTCATTCTCTCTTCTCTCTCTCTCTCTTTCTCCCCAACAATCTACTCTTATTTCTCTATCTTCTCTCCCTCCTCTTTCTCCCTATCAATCTCCTCCTCCCCTCCCTCTTCTTCCCTTTCCATCTCTCTCTCTCACCCTTTTAATGCTTATCTATGAAAATAGTCCCAAGACAGGACAACTAGATAATAAACAAAGCACAAGTAACCAATCTGTTAAAATGTCTGTCACAGGTTATGTATACAAGCTGTCCTTATATTCATGGGGAATTATTAAACCCATAGGAGTCATACAGCCTCTGTAGAACAGTTATTAGGTTTGATGCGAAGAAGGGGAGGGAGGCTTCAATTCCTTGCATCAAGAGCTTTTCACCAGCACATGGGCACCTCCCCTGGAAGGGGGATTGTCATCTGACACAGATAATGTATATAAAATGTGTCTTTCATGGAGAATATACAGGATATAAACTTCTTTATTTATCACAGGTTTTATTTTTTTTATTAACACATCGGCCAATTCCCACCAAGGCAGGGTGGCCCGAAAAAGAAAAACTTTCATCATCATTCACTCCATCACTGTCTTGCCAGAAGGGTGCTTTACACTTCAGTTATAAAACTGCAACATTAACACCCCTCCTTCAGAGTGTAGACACTGTACTTCCCATCTCCAGGATTCAAGTCTGGCCTGCCAGTTTCCCTGAATCCCTTCATAAATGTTACTTTGCTCACACTCCAACAGCACGTCATGTATTAAAAACCATTCGTCATCATTCACTCCTATCACAGGTAATGTACATAAATGACACTACCACAGGTAATGTACATACATCAACTTTGGTGTTTGTCATAGGTAATGTATATTGTACATAGAGATGGCAGAGGTTGGGGGAGAGGCCAGATTATTATTATAATGGGGAAGCGCTAAACCTGTAGGATTATACAGCACCTGTGGGGGGGAGGGATGGAAGGTATTCAGACTTAATTCAGGGAACTGGAGCACAGATCCTATTCCCTAGATCAAGAGCCCCTCACCAGCATTAAGGAACCTCTCTTGAGGGGGAAGAGGCCAGAGAAGGATGTTATCTCACTGTCCCTCAGTACAAGAGTGATGAAACCACTGGGTCTGTTCACTCTTCAGGAGCCAGTGAGCGAGTTAGCATTATGAAAAAAACACCTGTCAAGATGCTACTCCTGGTGAATAAATTAAAAAGAAAAGGAAGTGCTGGAGGTGGTGTTGGAGTGATGGAAGTAGTGCTGGGGGTGGTGTTGGAGTGATGGAAGTAGTGCTGGGGGTGGTGTTGGAGTGCTGGAAGCAATGCTGGTGGTGATCTTGGAGTGACCCAAGATTATCATTATTCTTATAATCATGGGGGAGCACTAAACCCGTAAGGATTATACAGCACCTGTGGGGGGAGGGGCTGAAGGTACTCAGGCTTAATTCAGGGAACTGGAGCACAGATCCAATTCCCTAGATCAAGAGCCCCTCACCAGCGTCAAAGAGCCTCCCTTGAGCGGGGAGTGACACAAGAGGTAGAATATAAATGGAGGTGTTGGAGTGAAGGCAGTGCTGAAGGTGGTGCTGCAGTGAATGCAGTGCTGGAGGGGTTGCTGGAGTTATGGAAGAAGTGTTGGAGTGATGAATATAAATGAATCATTGTTTTTCACAAAAGCATTTTAGAATATAAATACGTATATGTTTGTACTATACAAATTTTGATTCATTTATAATTAATATTCTACTGTAAAACTATGAAATAATTACTTTCCTACTGTACAACTATGATATACTACTCCTTAGTATTAAGTAGAATGTAAGCCTATAATGTTAAGTTGGCCCATAATGCCTAGGCATAATAGAGGCTCTTTGCATTGCATCCCACTATTGTATATACACAATCTCAATGTACTGTTTGCAAAGACATTAAATAAATAAATAAATGGAGGAGGTACTGTAATGTTGGATATGGAGTAATGGAGGTACTGGCGACGGAGATAATGTTGATTGGAGTAAGTTTTGGAGTGTTGGATGACATTAGTGATGGAGAATATTTTGGAATGTTGGACGAGGCGATGGAGGAAGCATTATAGTAATGGAAAAGACTGTGGAGTGTTGGAGTGAGGGAGGAGGAGGAAGTGTTGGAGAGGCGCTCACCAGTGACTAGTTCCCTGTACCACACATTGACAACATTGTGTGCATGCTTCTTGTGGTGTATTAACCACAGTGACACTGTCTGGATGGACTGCTGCGACATGTTGAGGTCGTCCAGCTTCTTCTTGAGTCCATCCTCATTGAAACTGGCCATGGCTGCCGCCCTCTACACGCACAAAAAAAAATATTTTCTGGAACTCTGTTGTTTGTGTAGCTTCCTCTAGGCTCCACAACACACGTCATCATCGTTCAGATCCCTGGACGCAGCCACTCTCCATAGCCAATTTTTCCCCTTTAACGGCAGAATTATAAGCCAAATTTAATGTAAACTATATAATTCATATATATAAGTAGGTTTCAGTAGACTAGCATATTTATTTGCATAGATGAAGATCTCTATATGCCCCTTAATTAGTTAAAGTTACAGTCAGGCAGCTTCTTCGAACACTAAGATCAAAACATTTTGTTGCTGTTGATATAAAAAAAATATTTATGGAGTGTACATATAAAATGTGCGTGGGATGTGAACTTCATATATATCACTAATATACGTGAATTATATCAGAGATGCAGTGTTTTAAGCTTGCCAACAGTTGTGACTCTTTTTAATTAATATATTTCTTTTATTAGACTCGAAATTGCATGATAGTGACAATACCAATATTTAGGTAGAAATGATTGTGAATAAAACTTACCTAGCATGGGCCAGTAGGCCTAGTAAGTGCAGTTTCTTTGTTCTTATATTCTGGTGGTTGTATTGGATATTACAAAAGTAAGAAGTAGGTAAGTTACAGGTACACATAAGTACAATTATCATACATAGTGTAAATTACTTAGGACAACCCAAAAAGTCAGACCTGACAATATAACTCAGTGGTACTGAGACTGATAAGCTCTGAGGTAGGTATTATGACTATGTAAGGATAAAGGACCCAATGGGAGTAAGTCACTGACTTTTTTGGGTTATCCTGGGTTCTCTACACATGCTGCTATGTGTAATAATCTATGTATGTTGCTATGTATAATAATCTATGTAACTGTATTTGTGTATACCTGAAGAAACTTATGTGTGGGTCACTACCCAGGGTGCCAGGGGTCGACCCCTACACGAGGCACCTGGGGCCACCACCTCCAACACCTACTGTCCCTCTTATCTAGCAGTTAAGAAGTACCTGGGAGACTGTTGCGGGTCGCATTGTTTGATGGGATCTAAACAGAGATTCCAATGAAAATATGCCACATTGACTAACTTTACTGTGTTGTAATCTCTCTGGAATTAGTAATATTAATAAAGTTTTCTTCCTCTTGTACCAAATACTGGCAAAGCTACATTTTTGATCTCGATATAAGCAGGGAAACAGGCAAGACACACTGAGCTACAGGCCAGAATGTTCACATGCAGGATCTCTGGTGCTGGAAAAGATAATCAGTAAGTTTATTCAGGTATAATTACACAAGTATAATTTACACAAGCTTTAGGTGATTACAGTTGGCTTCGATAATAACAGGTGAAAACTGTCTAGGATAACCCCCCAAAAATTGATGCACTAGTAGGTGAGGAAGGACATAGAAGTCTACAGGCTGTCTGCATTGAAGAAGACCCAGGAGATTTATTTTGAAGCAAGTTTATTATTTTTTTATTTAGGGGGCTGAGTAAATTTTGGAGGGACTTCAGCTCCCTTTGGCGTCTCCGCTGCTGGTAAAGAAACATTTCAGTGCCGATTGAAAACGGAAATTTAAAGAAATTTGGAATCGTGCGTTACAAGTCTGTTATTCGATAACAGAATAATGGAATTCTAGTGGGAAGAACAACAAAGGGTTGACTGCTTTGTTTTTGACTGCAGGAAGGAAAATGGCACAATGCCAGACCGGAGATCAACCCACAAACTGGAAGAGCAAGAAAGGACGCAGGGAAAATTACTCAAATGGCTCAGTGAGAACCTCAGTGATAGCGAACAGTGAGGGCGAGAAAGACAACATCGCGAAAGTAACAGGCGGGGTCCCTCAAGCATCGGTACTAAGGCCCTTGCTTTTCCTAATAATATAATATAATATCTTTATTTACTACCGGTACATGTACGTGGTATACATGCCTAGCTGACATCAATGACATACCACTATATAGAAAGCCAGAGTGAATATCATAATGGTATACAATACCGACAGGATGGTAGGTAAGATACATGAGCAAGTTAGGCAACTATTCCGAAACGTTTCGCCTACACAGTAGGCTTTTTCAGCCTAGTACAGAAAGTAGGTAGGAGCAGTAGATGTGAAGACGATGTAATCAGTCCATCACCCTTAAAGTCGTAGATTTGAGGTTCTCAGTCCCTCAGCCTGGAGAAAACTTGTTCCATAGTCTGAAACAATCTGAAGAGACAGACGACATTGTGGAGACTCGTATACTGTCGGAAGGACAGTATACGAGGACAGTTGTCCAAGGTGTTTTTTCTTCTGTACCAAGATGCCATTGTGTTGCAGTGTCTGACAGTGAATATCACAATGGCATACAATACCGACAGGATGGTATGTAAGACACACGGGCAACATTTAGGCAACTTTGTGTGTCTTACCTACCATATAGAAAGCCGTTTGTTATGCTTGAGCATTTCGGGCAAAATTGACATGGCGGTGTGAATCATATGTGTTGGTGTTTGTTGATGACCTGAAGCTAATGAGAAGAACAAGACCAGGATTCTTATTCTGGTCTTATTCTTCTCATTAATTTCACTGAGACAAACTACATGAAACAAAGACTTGGGTATTACATAGAAGTGATCGAAGAAGCTACTGAGGTTTAATCCAGAGAAGAATAAGATCATGGGAACAATTATTACACCGAACTCTTCACCAGATATACATATACACTACATAACATCGTTAGATGATGCTAGGTTAGAAAATCCAGACACTGACACGATGTGTGTCAGGCGCAGTTTAAAATATGTAACATTTGCACGAAGTCCACCCCTGAGAAACCACATTCAGAAGCTGAAGAAAGTCCCAAGGTTTCCAGAAGGCTGCTTCCAGAACTGAAAGGGCCTAATCTATCAACATTGGAAGAGACATGATAACGACATACAAGATATGCACAGGATTAGACAGAACAGAGAGGAACCGATTGTTGCAACTGCGAGGCACGCGGGTCAGAGGTCATGGATGGACGCCAAGAACGCAGATGAGTCGCAGATATATTAAGAAATACGTTTTAGGTATTAAGATGGTAAAAACTGGGATGAACTGGATGGAAGCAAACTCCAGTCTTCTTTACAACTAATCATGATAAGGACTAGTTTTTAAGTTAAGAAATTTGAGCACCTCGAACACAACTTGCAGAGGATACAAATAAATAAACATACTCACAAACACGTGAGCACATAACTGGAAGTTGAAAACACAGGTGAGCCACAGGGATGTCAGGAAGTATTTCTTCAGTCTCAGAGTGGTCGGGAAGTGGAATGATCTCAACGAAGTAGTGGAGGCAGACTCCATATGTATTTTTAAGAGCAGGTACGACAGAGCCCATAAAACTAAGAGTGAATCTGGCAAGCTACAAATTTAGAGGCGGGGCCAGGAGCTACACACACACACACAGGAAACAAATAATATTAAATCTAATGATAGAAAACTACACATTCCAGCTTTTTAAATGATCGTCATATCGATTGGGAAGCGCTAGATCCGTAGGGCCATACGGAAGAACTTGATAAGATGAACAAAGGACTACAGAACATACTACAGTATAACATAAATTAACGTTTATGATACAGTTAGAGTGGAAAGACATCTTGATACAAATTAAGCCTAAAAGAAAGCCACTTACTATGCATAACACTTCAGGGACCCAAGTCATCCACCGACTGTTGAGGATCCACAAATCCCAATATAGGAAGCCATTTAGTATCACCATTTTCCAGTGATAAAACATACGATGGTCATTAATGACTTCAGGTCCTGGCCTCAAATGACTGATAATTTATTCCTTAAAATATCCAGTATTAAGCGAATTATGTGAGTTAGGTGGGTATATTTTGTGGAAATAGTGAGAAACGTCACCCAACTTAAGGAAGCTCAATATAACCCAACCTAAAATAACATAACCCTGCTCTACCAGCGGTTGATGTGGGAGTGGCGCTTTTGTATATAATCGATGAATCTTTGCTTAAGCTGTTGTATTCACCTATTTGTGGTTGCAGGGGTTGAGTCTCTGCTCCTGGGCCCGCCTCTCTGAGCCCTATGATACCTATTCTTAAAAGTATGTATGGATTCTGCCTCTACTTTGACCAGGAACGTTACACGACTCAGTCCTAACTGTTGATTGGCTTTCATATGCCGCTCGTGCCAAAATTAATGGATTACTCTCGCTAATATCTCCCACTAATGAGAATTTCAGTATTTTGAGAGGAATTTATGTTTAAAATTGGCGCCATGTGTGAGGTTGTGACGTCATGCGCGCCTTCTCCCTATCTCCGTCACTGGTCTTGTGCGTCGGCCATATCTCCCTCTCCTGGCTCTTATTTCTTCCCATAAGTCGCTCTCCTGGCCACCCTGGCGCCTCCCCTGCCTCCGTGGGTAAGTATCACGAAGGTGAAAACAAGAAAATCCGTGATAAATATGGCGGAGGGAGGGAAAATATGGGTTGAGGAGGGAAGGCGGCGTTAGTCTTGTGTTTCGTCAGTGGTGAACAAATGAAGGTCAAATAATCGATTCTCTTTTATTATCTGTCCAGTTTTGTTGTCCTGCCCAGCTGAGTGTGTTGGGATTTTGCGCCTAGTATGGGACACATGTTATCACAGGGCGAGATGTGCCCAGCAGGGCCGCCAGGCAGGACAGTGATGCCTCGACCAACAAAAATGGCGGAGGTAAAGGTGGAGAGACGACCCTGAGTGATGTTACTGCCAGGAGAGCCCCGGGGCTCTGCCACTCGTGTCTTAATCTTTCTCGTCATCATCTTTCCCATCTCCACTCTTAATGATGCTTCTAGACAACCTCAGTTATCATTATTAGTAGGCCAGGCATCTATTTCCCACCGCCCCCTGATTCTGGTTGGTCTCAGGTGGTTCTTGACAGCTGTTGCCTCACTTATATTTTCTCGAGATTTTTGGACCCTTGAAATTGTTTGGAATTTAGTTCAGCACTTAATTTTGTTGGCTTCTTAAGGGAGGTTCATTGATGCTGCTGAATGGGGCTTGATCCAAGGAATTGGACCCCCTCCCCCTCGTGGGAGGTTCCTTGATGCTGGTGAGGGGCTCTTGATCTATGGAATTGGATCTGTGCTTCAGTTCCCTGAATTGAGCCTGAATACTTAACATCCCCCTCACATGCGCTGTATAATCCTACGGGTTTAGCGCTCCCATTATAATTATAATGGACCCCCTTCCTACCCCCCTGGCATATCATGATCCATACGCATTTAGTGCTTCCCTCAAATTTGTTTTATTGGGAAAACTCAAAAAATTCTTTGGGTCTTTGTGTAATTACCTGTTATTTACCAGTTATTATATTCTTGGAATTTAATATAGAAATATTTACAGCTGATTTTTTTCTCATATTACACGTCATGACAGGTATACAAAAGTGACATATAATGATAGTTTATCTACAAATCCTTCCCTTGATGCTGGTGATTGGTTCTTGATTCAAGGAATTGAAGGTATTCTCTTTGTTATATGATGCCTGATTACCTCCCGTTCCCCAAGCATATCCCCTCAAGGAAGGTTCCTTGATGTTGGTGAGGGGCTCTTGATTTAGGGAATTGGATCTGTGCTCCAGTTCCCCGAATTAAGCCTGAATGCCTTCCACATCCCCCCCCCCAGGCGCTGCATAATCCTCCGGGTTTAGCGCTTCCCCCTTGATTATAATAATAATAATCCCCAAGCATATAAACTCCCTATGACTCACAAAATCGTACTGACACGATTGCAAACAAACCGTACCACAGGTATTCTACATACATGGTGCTATGTATGATCATTTATGTAACTGTATTTGTGTACCTGTACCTGAATAAACTTTCATTTCACAGCTACACTGAGACTGACTGTTAGTGTGTTGATAGTCCTCGGGTTAAAATTCTCTTTGTTGTGTTTACTACTAGGTGTGCAAGTGCTTGTGAACTTCTGGAAGGAACACGTGCTCAGGAATGACAAAGTCCCAAAATATTACTTTCACATGGAATGGTACTCCACCACACAGGATGGCTTTCTTATACTTAATCAAACAATATGAATTTTTCTATCCTACATCATCTCATAGGATGGTTTCCTTGTTCTCCACTCAGAATGGCATTTATCACACAGAAGGATTGACCTGTCTTACTCCATCACACACTAGTTTTCCTGGTAACTTTTATATGTGGATTACTATTTTGGATGTCATATCACATACAAATAGGTAATTACATATATACTGTATAGTGGAATGGATGATACCATAAAAAAAAAACTTAAAATTGCCACACTTGTTACAGAGGTACCTTGATACCAGTGAATGGCTCTGGATCAAAAGGAACTGGAGTTACTTTTCTTTTCATGGATCAAAGCTGATTGCCTCCCCGTCCCTTAGGTGTTGTATGACCCCCATCAAGTTTAATGCACCTTTATTAAATATATAAATATCACAGACAATGAATAATTTTAAAATTAGTTTAACTCTGTATGGCCTATGAAATTCACAATTTATAAGTAATCTTATAGGTAATATAGGTCCAAAGTGTGTGTTCAGTACTCAGACATTTGGCCTTAATGCTTGTGTAATTGATAGGGCTTAAATTAATTAAGTTTGAGGTGTTCATTTTCTGATATATATTGGAGTTCTATATAACATTTGTTTGCTTTGAAATTTCATCACTATATGTGATAGATATTAATGCTAATATATTGTTTATGGTTGTATGCTCGTACATTTTGTTTGATTTTTGTTTTCTTTAATATACAGAAATATGGAAAGTGTTGTGGAAAGCTTCTCTGTGGTGGGCAGCATGCCAATAATCACAGAAGAACCAGAGGATGAAGGCCATTTGATAAATGCTACGACAAGTCATGTGACAGACACAGAAGACCACATCATAGCATCCTCAGACCATGTCTCGATAATTACTGCTGTAGACAGTGAAATCAGAAATGATGAATCAAGTCAGGGTACAGATTCGTCCACGCAGATGCTTACATCTGATAAAAATAACGGGTCTTCAGATCACATAGTCGCTGATAGCATGGCACAGATCATTGCCACCTCTGAAGGGACTAGCCTAATTACTGACAGTGGTAGCAATGGTGCACAGATCTTCCCTAGAGAACCTGGCCAAATTATAAATTCAGATACTGGGCAGTTGATGGACCATGAACATCATAGTATATTTGGTGATACTGATGGGGAAATTATAACCGAGCCAAGTCATATAATTATGAATCACGATGGAAGTATAGCGACAGACAGCAGCGGAAATATTTTACATGCAGGAGGCCAAATGATTACTGAAAATGGTAAGGCACATATTTTGTCTGCTGATGGAGAGATGATAGCTTTGGACAGCAGTCTACTTGAGGGCACCCACAGACTTCAGGAACATGTTGAGGTAAGTGCCATTACCATGCTAAGTGTTACATTCATTTCTGCAGTTTAATATGCTTGTTCAAAGTTTCTACATATACAGAATGCTATTGTGTACAGTATTTCCATTTAACACTTTTACTTTTAATCTGCACTTAGTTTTTATCTACAATTTATATTTTAAATAAGTTTGAGAAAACTGTAAATCACTTGCTCTTTTCCATAGACTGATATATCCTAACAAGGCTGTGAATTCAAACTTGGCTGCTTACAAAATTATAGTCGAGTACCCTTTTTAATGTCATATTGAAATTCGGAGTGTACAGTACTGTACAGTGACTACAAAGCTATGAACTCATTTACTATATTGGTACTTTCATTCTGGTAGTCATGTAGTAATCATGCAGTAATCATGTAGTCATGCAGTAATCTGGGATTGGTTAATTTATTAATAATGTAAGTACAATGTAGTACAGTATATGTGACCCCCTAGGTAAGTGAAGATGCTCCAGTGGTTGTGGAATCTGAAACCCGTGATCACCTGCTTCGGCAAATCAAAAAGGAGCCCAGGGATGATGGGGAATCTACAACCATCCAGATTCGTGTTAATGCCACCTCACCACGAAAAAAAGAAACTGTACCATTGCCAGATGAGGTTAGATACAGTGATTTGTCACTTGTTAAGTTTTTTATGATATCCTTCACCATAATGTACATGTTTATAGAGGGGCAACTGATATATCGGATCATTATTTAGTTGTAGCTACAGTTAGAGTAAGAGGTAGATGGGAAAAGAGGAAGGTGGCAACAACAAGTAAGAGGGAGGTGAAAGTGTATAAACTAAGGGAGGAGGAAGTTCGGGCGAGATATAAGCGACTATTGGCAGAAAGGTGGGCTAGTGCAAAGATGAGTAGTGGGGGGGTTGAAGAGGGTTGGAATAGTTTTAAAAATGCAGTATTAGAATGTGGGGCAGAAGTTTGTGGTTATAGGAGGGTGGGGGCAGGAGGAAAGAGGAGTGATTGGTGGAATGATGAAGTAAAGGGTGTGATAAAAGAGAAAAAGGTAGCTTACGAGAGGTTTTTACAAAGCAGAAGTGTTATAAGAAGAGCAGAGTATATGGAGAGTAAAGAAAGGTGAAGAGAGTGGTGAGAGAGTGCAAAAGGAGGCAGATGAAAGAGTGGAGGAGGCACTGTCAAGAATTTTAATGAAAATAAGAAAAAATTTGGAGTGAGTTAAACAAGTTAAGAAAGCCTAGGGAAAGTATGGATTTGTCGGTTAAAAACAGAGGTAGGGGAGTAGTAGATGGGGAGAGGGAGGTATTAGGTAGATGGCGAGAATATTTTGAGGAACTTTTAAATGTTAAGGAAGAAAGGGAGGCGGTAATTTCATGCACTGGCCGGGAGGTATACCATCTTTTAGGAGTGAAGAAGAGCAGAATGTAAGTGTGGTGGAGTGTACGTGAGGCATTACGTAGAATGAAAGGGGGTAAAGCAGCTGGAACTGATGGGATCATGACAGAAATGTTAAAAGCAGGGGGGGATATAGTGTTGGAGTGGTTGGTACTTTTGTTTAATAAATGTATGAAAGAGGGGAAGGTACCTAGGGATTGGCAGAGAGCATGTATAGTCCCTTTTATATAAAGGGAAAGGGGACAAAAGAGATTGTAAAAAATTATAGAGGAATAAGTTTACTGAGTATACCAGGAAAAGTATACGGTAGGGTTATAATTGAAAGAATTAGAGGTAAGACAGAATGTAGAATTGCGGACGAGCAAGGAGGCTTCAGAGTGGGTAGGGGATGTGTAGATCAAGTGTTTACATTGAAGCATATATGTGAACAGTATTTAGATAAAGGTAGGGAAAGTTTTTATTGCATTTATGGATTTAGAAAAGGCATATGATAGAGTGGATATAGGGCAATGTGGCAGATGTTGCAAGTATATGGAATAGGTGGTAAGTTACTAAATGCTGTAAAGAGCTTTTATGAGGATAGTGAGGCTCAGGTTAGGGTGTGTAGAAGAGAGGGAGAATATTTCCCCGGTAAAAGTAGGTCTTAGACAGGGATGTGTAATGTCACCATGGTTGTTTAATATATTTATAGATGGGGTTGTAAAAGAAGTAAATGCTAGGGTGTTCGGGAGAGGGGTGGGATTAAATTATGGGGAATCAAATTCAAAATGGGAATTGACACAGTTACTTTTTGCTGATGATACTGTGCTTATGGGAGATTCTAAAGAAAAATTGCAAAGGTTAGTGGATGAGTTTGAGAATGTGTGTAAAGGTAGAAAGTTGAAAGTGAACATAGAAAAGAGTAAGGTGATGAGGGTATCAAATGATTTAGATAAAGAAAAATTGGATATCAAATTGGGGAGGAGTAGTATGGAAGAAGTGAATGTTTTCAGATACTTGGGAGTTGACGTGTCGGCGGATGGATTTATGAAGGATGAGGTTAATCATAGAATTGATGAGGGAAAAAAGGTGAGTGGTGCGTTGAGGTATATGTGGAGTCAAAAAACGTTATCTATGGAGACAAAGAAGGGAATGTATGAAAGTATAGTAGTACCAACACTCTTATATGGATGTGAAGCTTGGGTGGTAAATGCAGCAGCGAGGAGACGGTTGGAGGCAGTGGAGATGTCCTGTCTAAGGGCAATGTGTGGTGTAAATATTATGCAGAAAATTCGGAGTGTGGAAATTAGGAGAAGGTGTGGAGTTAATAAAAGCATTAGTCAGAGGGCAGAAGAGGGGTTGTTGAGGTGGTTTGGTCATTTAGAGAGAATGGATCAAAGTAGAATGACATGGAAAGCATATAAATCTATAGGGGAAGGAAAGAGGGGTAGGGGTCGTCCTCGAAAGGGTTGGAAAGAGGGGGTAAAGGAGGTTTTGTGGGCGAGGGGCTTGGACTTCCAGCAAGCGTGCATGAGCGTGTTAGATAGGAGTGAATGGAGACGAATGATACTTGGGAGCTGACGATCTGTTGGAGTGTGAGCAGGGTAATATTTAGTGAAGGGATTCAGGGAAACCGGTTATTTTCATATAGTCGGACTTGAGTCCTGGAAATGGGAAGTACAATGCCTGCACTTTAAAGGAGGGGTTTGGGATATTGGCAGTTTGGAGGGATATGTTGTGTATCTTTATACGTATATGCTTCTAAGCTGTTGTATTCTGAGCACCTCTGCAAAAGCAGTGATAATGTGTGAGTGTGGTGAAAGTGTTGAATGATGATGAAAGTATTTTCTTTTTGGGGATTTTCTTTCTTTTTTGGGTCACCCTGCCTCGGTGGGAGACGACCGACTTGTTGAAAAAAAAAAAAAAAAAAATTGGTAATATAGACAGAAATACTCTGGAGCAGATGTCATCCCTGTTAAATACAGTATGTATATGAAACTGCAAAAGACAAGATAGACAGCATGTGAAAGTAGAAATTCAGAAGTTATAGCTTTAGCAATTTTCTCATCTTTTATAATAGTTGTGTAAATCAATACTCTCATTTTTTATTAGTGGTGTACAGTATATATAATTGAACCTAATAAGCATTATGGTCAATGTTACAGGGAGATGATTCTGCTAAAGTGATGCCAGAGCTGATGATTGACCGCACGACTAAGTACACCAGAGTGGACAGAGATGACCCAAGAAGTAGACTGCATTTTGTCAAGTACATGAAGCGGGAGGGAAAAACTATAAAAATTTGGGAATGTGGAATATGTGAGTATATACATATACGTTCTAGGTAGTAGGTTGGTAGACAGCAACCTCCCAGGGAGGTACTACCATCCTGCCAAGTGAGTGTAAAACGAAAGCCTGTAATTGTTTTACATGATGGTAGGATTGCTGGTGTCCTTTTTTCTGTCTCATAAACATGCAAGATTTCAGGTAACGTCTTGCTACTTCTACTTACACTTAGGTCACACTACACATACATGTACAAGCATATATATACACACCTCTCTGGGTTTTCTGCTATTTTCTTTCTAGTTCTTGTCTTGTTTATTTCCTCTTATCTCCATGGGGAAGTGAAACAGAATTCTTCCTCTGTAAGCCATGCAAGGGGCTAGTAACCCCTTCTCCTGTATAAATTACTAAATTTGAAAAGAGAAACTTTTGTTTTTCTTTTTGGGCCACCCTGCCCCGGTGGGATACGGCTGGTTTGTTGAAAAAAAAAATACATATACTTTTTTTTATATGTATGTACATTTCATTATGTTGTTTTCAGTATTGATGAATTTATAATGGAAACCTTCAGAATGTAGATAGAAATGTCAAGATTGGTTATATCTCATTATTTGTTGATTAACTAAGACTTTGCTGAATTATGAACATGTCAATGTATTAAACATTTCTTCTTACAAACATATCCACAGTTGTAATCCTAATAAAAGTCTAATTATTATAATGAACTATGTAATGCACTTCACATATTTCCTCTAATGAATTGCTGACTTTCTTCATCTCCTAATTGTATTTTTCCAGTCAAGGAAACTGTATTGGATCATGACAGGGACAATAACTAAAATTGTGTGTCATATTTTTTGTCTTTCTGTCTAGGTGGAAAAGAGTTCATGCACCAGTATACCTTAATGCGACATTTACCCACACACACGGATGAGCGTAATTTCCGATGCAACCAGTGTGGGAAAGCTTTCAGGCAAATGTCCACACTTTCACAACATAAAGCCACTCACTCTGAGGTAATTCTTTTTTATTTTTATTCATGTGGGTTTAATTACCTATGTGTAGTTATAGGGTGGAGTAATGTTTGTGATATCTCTTCAGTATGTAATTTGAAGTTTTTTAAAAGTTTTCGGTAGTTTTAACTTTTACTGCCTCTTCCAGAATTCCATTCCAGCTACCTATCACTAAGTGAAAAGATACTTTTAATATTCCTTTTGTATTGCCTTTTAGCTATAATTTAGCTCTGTGGTCTTTTATTCACCTTGTTGCTGCCAAAATGTCTTGGTTTTCTCTTATCCTTTAATGACACACAGTACAGTGTGTTTATCATCCCTCTCTTTCTCCTGTCTACAAAATAGGACATTTCTAGTGATATTTGTTTTCATTCTTAACTGGTTAAACAAAGAGGAAACACTGAAGAAAAAAAAGCAAAAACTGTCTTATGTACAAATGGTATATATCTAGTAGTTTGGTAAAGGTCAGTACTATGGATTAATCCTTATTTTATCTTATGAGTATGTGTTTGTCAATTCCTATGTCTGATTCACAAAATTTCTCATTGGTAACTAAATTTTCTCATTAAGACTTCAGTACTCAGTAATATTATTTGCTGTAGTAAGAGTAGAGTGACTGATAATAGGCATTTATGAATGGTTTTGGGTTGTAATTTACAAGAGGCTAAAGAGGGGACACATGGAGGCCAGTAAAGGTGGAAAGAAAAGAAGAGTTGTGAGTAGGTAGGGCTAGAGGATATTGGGATATTTATAAGTAAATTTTTTTTATGGGAAACTACATCTATTTAAACTTGCAGTGTAACATAAAATATCATTTCAGTCAAGACCATATGTGTGTGATATCTGCCAAAAAACCTTCAGTCGTGTCTCTACTTTAATTTCCCACAAGAAGACCCACACTGAAGAGAAACAGCATAGGTGCTATGTTTGCGGTAAAGCTTTTCACCAAAAGGGTGAGTATTATTAACACTACAGTAGTTTCTCATAGATTATAGTGTTACAAATTTACATGGACATAAGGGGAAATAAAATGCCTTGTGCAGGGGTATATTCTTCTTTCATCGTACCAGCCGTATCCCACCGAAGTGGGGTGGCCCAAAAGAAAAAACTAAAGTTTTTTCTTTTAAATTTAGTAATATATACAGGAGAAGGGGTTACTAGCCCCTTGCTCCCGGCATTTTAGTCGCCTCTTACAACACGCATGGCTTACAGAGGAAGAATTCTATTCCACTTCCCCATGGAGATAAGAGGAAATAAACAAGAACAAGAATTAGAAAGAAAATAGAAGAAAACCTAGAGGGGTGTGTATATATATGATTGTACACATAGGTGTAGTGTGACCTAAGCGTAAGTAGAAGTAGCAAGACGTACCTGTAATCTTGCATATTTGTGAGACAGACAAAAGACACCAGCAATCCTACCATCATGTAAAACAATTACAGGCTTCCGTTTTACACTCACTTGGCAGGATGGTAGTACCTCCCTGGGCGGTTGCTGTCTAGGGGTATATATGTATAACATATAGTTATGCTAGTAACCCTTTACTAAATGTAAAAGGAGAAACTTTAATTTCTCCTCTTGGGCCACCCCGCGTTGGTGGGATACGGCCAGTGTGTTGAAAGAAACAGAAGAAGAATATAGTTATGCTCTGTAATTTTTAAAACTTCCCTCACTACATTCCTGTCAGTACAAATGAGTTGATGCTGGAAGTTCTATATATGGTGCTTCATGGCATCATTGGGCACTATCGTAGTCCTGAGAATTTTGTGATTTTTTGGGGGGGAGGGGGGTTGGAATTATTTTGTTTGTGGCACTATGATAACATGCTCACCTCAGCCCCATGAGTGTGAAGTTTATTCCTTGTGTAAAATCTCCCTCTTATTACCAGGCAAGCTGTTTCCTTTCCTTAAATTTACATTGACCTGTAATAACATTGGTAGAATTACTGACTGTTAGGTAAAAGGGGACACGTGCAACTAATGTGATATTTTATTGTGGCAACATTTCGCTCTCCAGAATCTTTGTCAAAGTTATGATAACTGATAATGTAACAGCCATAAAAACACTTCTTTGTTGATCTCCTCACTTTTTACCAAAAAAATTTTTCCCCTGTATACGATTAGTTTTCTCTCCTGTCATTTTGCTGTGTCCATCAGTCGTCCCCTTGAACAGTTTTGTGTTTTGATCTGCTAGGTCAAAGCACTCTTAAATTATCAAAACTTCTTTTCACCAGTGTTCATCTAAGGTTATGATTATATTGAGCACCCTGTATATCTACAGTACACTATAAGATTAGTTTTAGCAGTAAGTTTATTTAATAGTGGTCACATATTTTACTTTGCAAGAGAAATGAAATGGACACAATGGTATTTTGACCCAGTCTGTGAATTAAATAGAAATGTATGGTTTTATACATGGTATTTTTAAAAATTTATATTTTTTGCAGGAAATTTAAAGAATCACCTATTTACTCATACAAACGAACGGCCGTATAAATGTGACATTTGTGGAAGAGGCTTCAATCAATCTTCAAATCTACAGTGTCACAAAGCAAAAGTAAGCTGATTACTAAATGTGAAGTAATAATTTATATTATCGTGTAAAGTAGGTGATCAATGTATAAAAATGTACTTGAATGTAATTTTTCCCTTTTCCTCAGTCTCATGCCGATGGAACACTCAACTATCAGTATGTACCGGATAAATATAAGTGTAATTTTTGTGAACATGCTTTTGCAAGAAGAGCCCAGTTACGACAACACGAAGAATACAAGCACGGTGTGCGTAACCTACACGGGTCAAGGGTATTATCAGGATCTGGATCTCGGACTGTAACTAATAATAATGCTCTCTTTCGGAAGAGAAAGATTGGAAATGTCCGCATAATTCAGTTGCCAAATGGAGACAGAACTTTTCAGGAGGTACGTCATCACTGTATAATTCTAAGTAATAATTTGAGATGAGGGGACCTACTTAATTGCTGTATTTGTTAGAAGTCTGTGACTATTAGTATCTTCGTTATGCACATAGTATTTCTGAATCTAGGCACAGTGGTGTGCCACTTAATCTTTCTTAATGAAGAATTTGTTTTGATACTGTTGAGATCTTACCAAACTGACTTGTATAATGGACTACATACAGTATCTCACTGGCATGTATATACTGTTGTTCGAACTTTGTGCCTCACAAACCTATGCTTTGTGACATGGCACAAAGTTCACACCTAAGCTGCTATAAGAACATTGTTGCCTTTGGGCCATATTATATTAAGTTTCATTAGAGCCAGAGTTCAGAATGGGCAATAAGTGATAAGGATTGTGGTGGCACATAGGGATTCATTGTAGTACCAGGTCCAGTGGTTTTTTTGGATACTATGTTCATTGTACAGTACAATATATTTCATCATATTCAGCTAAAATTATACACAGTGCTTGTGTATTGATTATTTTTTTCTTGGGGTTTAATGCTGAATTGAAGGTAAGATGAAGAAGGTAAATGATTTCTGACAACTTGAAGGAAATGGACACGAATGCATTCACTAGTACATCTTTATCAAAAATGTTTCAGTTCAGGGACAGTGATCATTCGAATACATAAGTGAAGGAGGGGTGTTAATTTTTTTTTTTTTTTTTTTTTTTTCAACAAGTCGGCCGTCTCCCACCGAGGCAGGGTGACCCAAAAAAGAAAGAAAATCCCCAAAAAGAAAATACTTTCATCATCATTCAACACTTTCACCACACTCGCACATTATCACTGTTTTTGCAGAGGTGCTCAGAATACAACAGTCTAGAAGCATACACATATAAAAATACACAACATATCCCTCCAAACTGCCAATATCCCAAACCCCTCCTTTAAAGTGCAGGCATTGTACTTCCCATTTCCAGGACTCAAGTCCGACTATATGAAAATAACCGGTTTCCCTGAATCCCTTCACTAAATATTACCCTGCTCACACTCCAACAGATCGTCAGGTCCCAAGTACCATTCGTCTCCATTCACTCCTATCTAACACGCTCACGCACGCTTGCTGGAAGTCCAAGCCCCTTACCCACAAAACCTCCTTTACCCCCTCTCTCCAACCCTTTCGAGGACGACCCCTACCCCGCCTTCCTTCCCCTATAGATTTATATGCTTTCCATGTCATTCTACTTTGATCCATTCTCTCTAAATGACCAAACCACCTCAACAACCCCTCTTCTGCCCTCTGACTAATACTTTTATTAACTCTACACCTTCTCCTAATTTCCACACTCCGAATTTTCTGCATAATATTTACACCACACATTGCCCTTAAACAGGACATCTCCACTGCCTCCAACCGTCTCCTCGCTGCTGCATTTACCACCCAAGCTTCACACCCATATAAGAGTGTTGGTACTACTATACTTTCATACATTCCCTTCTTTGCCTCCATAGATAACGTTTTTTGACTCCACATATACCTCAACGCACCACTCACCTTTTTTCCCTCATCAATTCTATGATTAACCTCATCCTTCATAAATCCATCCGCCGACACGTCAACTCCCAAGTATCTGAAAACATTCACTTCTTCCATACTCCTCCTCCCCAATTTGATATCCAATTTTTCTTTATCTAAATCATTTGACACCCTCATCACCTTACTCTTTTCTATGTTCACTTTCAACTTTCTACCTTTACACACATTCCCAAACTCATCCACTAACCTTTGCAATTTTTCTTTAGAATCTCCCATAAGCACAGTATCATCAGCAAAAAGTAACTGTGTCAATTCCCATTTTGAATTTGATTCCCCATAATTTAATCCCACCCCTCTCCCAAACACCCTAGCATTTACTTCCTTAACAACCCCATCTATAAATATATTAAACAACCATGGTGACATTACACATCCCTGTCTAAGACCTACTTTTACCGGGAAATAGTCTCCCTCTCTTCTACACACCCTAACCTGAGCCTCACTATCTTCATAAAAACTCTTTACAGCATTTAATAACTTACCACCTATTCCATATACTTGCAACATCTGCCACATTGCTCCTCTATCCACTCTATCATATGCCTTTTCTAAATCCATAAATGCAATAAAAACTTCCCTACCTTTATCTAAATACTGTTCACATATATGCTTCAATGTAAACACTTGATCTACACATCCCCTACCCACTCTGAAACCTCCTTGCTCATCCGCAATCCTACATTCTGTCTTACCTCTAATTCTTTCAATTATAACCCTACCGTACACTTTTCCTGGTATACTCAGTAAGCTTATTCCTCTATAATTTTTACAGTCTCTTTTGTCCCCTTTCCCTTTATATAAAGGGACTATACATGCTCTCCGCCAATCCCTAGGTACCTTCCCCTCTTTCATACATTTATTGAACAAAAGTACCAACCACTCCAACACTATATCCCCCCCTGCTTTTAACATTTCTGTCATGATCAGATCAGTACCAGCTGCTTTACCCCCTTTCATTTTACGTAATGCCTCACGTACCTCCCCCACACTTACATTCTGCTCTTCTTCACTCCTAAAAGATGGTATACCTCCCTGACCAGTGCATGAAATTACTGCCTCTGTTTCTTCCTTAACATTTAAAAGTTCCTCAAAATATTCTCGCCATCTACCTAATACCTCCATCTCCCCATCTACTAACTCCCCTACTCTGTTTTTAACTGACAAATCCATATTTTCCCTTGGCTTTCTTAACTTGTTTAACTCACTCCAAAATTTTTTCTTATTTTCATTAAAATTTCTTGACAGTGCCTCTCCCACTCTATCATCTGCTCTCCTTTTGCACTCTCTCACCACTCTCTTTACCTTTCTTTTACTCTCCAATATTCTGCTCTTCTTATAACACTTCTGCTTTGTAAAAACCTCTCATAAGCTACCTTTTTCTCTTTATCACACCCTTTACTTCATCATTCCACCAATCACTCCTCTTTCCTCCCTGCACCCACCCTCCTATAACCACAAACTTCTGCCCCACATTCTAATACTGCATTTTTAAAACTATTCCAACCCTCTTCAAACCCCCCCATTACTCATCTTTGCACTATCCCACCTTTCTGCCAATAGTCGCTTATATCTCGCCCGAACTTCCTCCTCCCTTAGTTTATACACTTTCACCTCCCTCTTACTTGTTGTTGCCACCTTCCTCTTTTCCCATCTACCTCTTACTCTAACTGTAGCTACAACTAAATAATGATCCGATATATCAGTTGCCCCTCTATAAACATGTACATCCTGGAGCCTACCCATCAACCTTTTATCCACCAATACATAATCCAATAAACTACTTTCATTACGTGCTACATCATACCTTGTATATTTATTTATCCTCTTTTCATAAAATATGTATTACTTATTACCAAATTTCTTTCTACACATAGCTCAATTAAAGGCTCCCCATTTACATTTACCCCTGGCACCCCAAATTACCTACTACTTCTCCCTCCATAACATTTTTACCCACTTTAGCATTGAAATCCCCAACCACCATTACTCTCACACTTGATTCAAAACTCCCCATGCATTCACTCAACATTTCCCAAAATCTCTCTCTCTCCTCTACACTTCTCTCTTCTCCAGTGCATACACGCTTATTATAACCCACTTTTCACATCCAATCTTTATTTTACTCCACATAATCCTTGAATTAATACATTTATAGTCCCTCTTTTCCTGCCATAAGCTTATCCTTCAACATTATTGCTACTCCTTCTTTAGCTCTAACTCTATTTGAAACCCCTGACCTAATCCCATTTATTCCTCCTCCATTGAAACTACTCCCACCCCCTTCAGCTTGTTTCACTTAAAGCCAGACATCCAGCTTCTTCTCATTCATAAACATCCACAATCATCTCTTTCTTATCATCTGCACAACATACCACGCACATTCAGACTTCCCACTTTGACAATTTTCTTCTTCTTATTCTTTTTAGTAATCTTTACAGGAAAAGGGGTTACTAGCCCATTGTTCCCGGCATTTTAGTTGACTTTACAACACGCATGGCTTACGGAGGAAAGATTCTTATTCCACTCCCCATGGATATAAAAGGAAAATTAATAAGACCAAGAACTATTAAGATAAAATCAAAGAAAACTCAGATGAGTGTGTATGAATAAATGTGTATATGTATGTGTAGTGTGACCTAAGTGTAAGTAGAAGTAGCAAGACATGCCTGTAATCTTGCATATTTATGAGACAGACAAAAGACATCAGCAATCCTACCATCATGTAAAACAATTACAGGCTTTCGTTTTACACTCACTTGGCAGGACGGTAGTACCTCCCTGGGTGGTTGCTGTGTTAATGTGTTAATGGGTGTTAATGTTGCAGTTTAAAAACTGTAGTGTAAAGCACCCTTCTGGCAAGACTGATGGAGTGAATGATGGTGAAAGTTTTTCTTTTTCGGGCCACCCTGCCTTGGTGGGAATCGGCCAGTGTGATAATAATAAAATAATAACAAGAGAAAAATAGGTAATACATGTATAGGGGCAGGAGAGAGAGTAGTAATATTAGTGATAGTGTTAATATTTACTAATACAATGGACCCCTGCATAACGATATTAATCCGTTCCTGAGAGCTCATTGTTATGCAAAATTATCGTTATGCGAATGAATTTTCCCCATAAGAAATAATGGAAATCAAATTAATCCGTGCAAGACACCCCAGAGTATGAAAAAAAAAATTTTACCACATGAAATATTAATTTTAATACACACAAACTGAAAAAGACATGCACAGTTACATGACACTTACCTTTATTGAAGATCTGGTGATGATTGATGGGATGGGAGGAGGAGAGAGTCTTAGTGTTTAGAAGGGGAATCCCCTTCCATTAAGACTTGGTGTCAAGCCCTTTTTCCCCGGGGGTTACTTCCCTTCTTCTTTTAAATGCCACTAAGACCAGCTTCAAGTCCTGGACTTTTGTCGCACAACAAATCTGTCCATAGAGGCCTGTACCTCCCGTTCCTTTATGATTTTTCCTAAAGTGTTCACAGCTTGTCAGTGTAATAGTCACCAGCACGGCTTGCAATAGCTGTGTTAGTGTGATTGTCATTAAAAAAGGTTTGCACTTTAAGCCACATTGCACACATTTCCTTAATCTTTGAAGTAGGCAACTTCTTCAAGTTCTCTCTCCCCTCCTCCGAAGCAGTTTCTTCAGGTCTGGCCTGATGCTGATGAAGATCTAGCAGCTCATCAGGGTTAGTTCTTCATTGCCCTCCTCCACCAACTCTTCCACATCATCCCCACTAACCTCCAACCCCAAGGACTTTCCCAATGCCACAATGGATTCCTCAACTGGCATTGGATTCCCAGGGTTAGCCTAAAACCCCTTTCAAACCCCTTTGTCTACACATCTGGCCACAGTTTCTTCCAAGCAGAGTTAAAGGTCCTCTTAGTCACTCCCTCCCAAGCCTTCCCCTATAAGGTTTACACAATTGGGGATATTAAAGTGCTCTCCCCCAAACTCTCTTAGAGTCAATTGAGTTTCCTAAAGGTCACTACAAAGCACCTTTCAAACAGAGCTTTTGTGTACAGTTTTTGAAGTTTGCAAAAACCTTCTGGTCCATGGGCTGCAGGAGAGGAGTGGTATTAGGAGGCAAAAACTTCACCTAATGAAGCTCATGTCCCCACAAAGTCGCTCTGCCACGTCTGTAAAGGGTGACCAGGGGCATTGTCTAACACCAGGAGGCACTTAAGGCAATTTCTTTCAGTTAGGTAATTTTTCACATTGGGGGGAAATGCTTGGGGTAACCATCATAGAAAAAGTCCCTAGTGACCCATGGCTTAATGTTTGCCCTCCACCCGCACACACAAATTAGCCTTGAGGATATTCTTTTTGCCTGAACGCTCTGGGGGTTTCAGAGCGATACACTATAAAGGCTTCACTTTGCAATCACCACTAGCATTGGAACACATGAGAAGAGTAAGCCCGTCTTCATAGGCTTATGTCCTGGGAGTGCCTTTTCCCCTGAGTAATGTAGGTCCTGCTTGGCATTTTTCTTCCAAAACAGGCCTGTTTCATCGCAATTAAACACTTGTTCAGGTTCCAGTCCTTCACTGTCTATGTAATCCTTGAATTCCTTCACATATTTTTCAGCTGCTTTGTGGTCCGAACTGGCAGCCTCACCATGCCTTATCACACTATGTATGCCCCTATGCTTCTAAATCTCTCAAACCCCAAACCTTGCTGGCCTTAAATTCACTCACATCATCACTAGTTGCAGGCATTTTTTAATTAAATCCTCATGCAACTTCCTAGCCTTTTCACTTATGATCACTTGAGAGATGCTATCTCCTGCTATCTGTTTTTCATTTATCCACACCAATAAGAGTCTCTCAACATCTTCTATCACTTGTGATCTCTGTTTCGAAAACACAGTTGAACCTTTGGCAAGAACAGCTTCCTTGATTGCCGTTTTCTTGGACACAATAGTAGCGATGGTTGATTGGGGTTTACTATGCAACCTGGCCAGCTCGGAGACACACGCCCTCCACTTTCATACTTAGCAATGATCTCTTTCTTCATCTCTATAGTAATTCTCACCCTTATTCCTGTAGGGTTGGCACTAGAAGCTTTCTTGGGGCCCATGGTCACTTATTTTGCAGATAAAATCACCAAAAACACTGTAATAATACGAAATGTTCCGATTGTATGCTTGGATGTTACCGGGGAGGCTGGCTGGTAAACAATGCCACCAGCGGAACATGTGAGGCTGGCTCAGGCCGCACATTTGACGCGTCTCGGACGAATAGCATTGAGCGGGTTTTTTAGCGGTATGCGAGGCAAAATCTTAGCGATAAACTGTATCGGTATGCGGATTTAACGTTATGTGATGCCAACGGTATGCGGGGGTCCACTGTAGTAGTAGGTTCACTTGAATATTAAGCTGAAGGAAAACTTCCCTTCCTCATCACATTTCTGCTGAACCCCCTGACAAGGATATCCTGTCCTTTAAGGTCTGTAGGAAGTCTTGTCAACAAGGATAACCTCACCCACTTCTTTTCACACCATGATCCTCACACCAAATGCGAGGTAGTCAAATGATTCTTCCAGCGTTCGTGATGTATCTCTGGAACTGAGTTCTTTGAAGAAGAATGAGGCTACATTCAGCAGACCTTTTTCCATCTTTTTATTCCCTCTCATTTCATCCAGTATTGCAGATGCAGAGCTCAAACCATTCTGCACAATCCACCAGCCTCTGGTGTTGCCTTCGAGTGATATCTCCCCCCCTTCAAATGTGCACACACAACTACAACAAAGCAACAACAACAAAACAGTAGCAGAACAATAGCAAAACAACAAAACCAATTGCCATTGCTTCAACACTTCTCTTCCATGGAAACACTGAGGGACATTTCATGCATTGTCAAGGTGATAAACTAATATAGAGATAGCCAGATTTGAAGGGATGCAGTTGCCTTGAAGCATTGCTCATTGCCACCTCCAACACCATCATTAAAAAAGTTAGTAGTTATAACATTTCCACACCCTGGCATTTATGAACTGAGAGCTTGCTTCCACGAAACTGCCATGTGATACAATTGCAAGATAAGCTGTTCTCAGCTCTGAGTGTTCGGTTACTAATACTACCAGCTCGTATTAATACTGCCACCACCATGACTACTACTCATCTCTACTGCTCTTATATATAGTCTGTCTTTTCTCATACTCCTCATGTATTTGAAGTAACCAAGTTTCCAGGATTGAAACTTTTTAATATATGTATCCTGTATGCATTGTGTCTGTTTCTTTTAAAAATATTACCCTGCAACTTATCTTGGACTTGTAGAAGTCTTTGGGAAAGCATGATTTGCTGGGAAATGCACGTAGTGAATTATTGATATTTAAGAAATTCTAACTTTTAAGTACTGTAAGTCTCAGGATTCTCATGACATTTAAATAATTGTTAATCCTAACTTCTCTTTTGTTTGTAGATTGGAAATGAGCCACTAGCAAGGCAGCGGAAGATGAAGCCTAAATCTCAAGTAAGTGTTTTGTTATAACTACGGAAATGTCTGCTGCTTTTATATTTTATGAAAGTCGTGTGATTATGCTTCCTGAAAAAATATTGCTCTTGGCAAGTATTCTCTTATTTTGATATACTGTACATAGTTCTTTGGTAACAGATGTGCTATTTGTGGCAGCTAAGTGCTACTTTCATTAAGACAAACTCTCCAGTTCCGAAGGTTAGGAATATTGTATCCTGTTCTTAGACTAGTTAGTTTCATTCTACTTTGATGTTGGTAGCTTCATTAACAGGAATTGGGGCATTTTATTTGTTTTTAAGTTCAAGGATTTCCATGGGAAAGTGTGTATAAATAGTCAACTTACATTGGACAATTTAATAAGCAAAAGTAGCAGATATGGTATAAAGCAAAAATTGGTAATATATTTTTCAAAAACTAAAATTTATATTTATTTTGAATTCTTTGTTTACATATATTTCTAGATAAAAAGTGGCATTTTGATTGAACCAATCGACACAAATGCAATGCATCGTGCCTTGGCTGCAGGAAGAACTCCATTTGCTCTTCTCAAGCCCTCTAAAGGAGTCCCTGTTGTTGTCAAAGTGCAGTTTGCCTTAGGAAACAAGCATGTAAGTTTCAAACTTCTGTAAAAAAAAGAAAATAAATCTTCATTAGCATTTAGTTTTAACATATGTTGACATTTATTAGTGAAATACAGCAAATTTTTTTATATAAGTTAGTTTCTTTCTTTCAACACACTGGCCGTATCCCACCGAGGCGGGGTGGCCCAAAAGGAAAAACGAAAGTTTCTCCTTTTACATTTAGTAATATTTACAGGAGAAGGGGTTACTAGCCCCTTGCTCCCGGCATTTCAGTTGCCTCTTACAACACGCATGGCTTACGGAGGAAGAATTCTGTTCCACTTCCTCATGGAGATAAGAGGAAATAAAGAAGCGTGGGTGATGAATGTTGCAGCGAGGAGAAGGCTGGAGGCAGTGGAGATGTCATGTCTGAGGGCAATGTGTGGTGTGAATATAATGCAGAGAATTCGTAGTTTGGAAGTTAGGAGGAGGTGCGGGATTACCAAAACTGTTGTCCAGAGGGCTGAGGAAGGGTTGTTGAGGTGGTTCGGACATGTAGAGAGAATGGAGCGAAACAGAATGACTTCAAGAGTGTATCAGTCTGTAGTGGAAGGAAGGCGGGGTAGGGGTCGGCCTAGGAAGGGTTGGAGGGAGGGGGTAAAGGAGGTTTTGTGTGCGAGGGGCTTGGACTTCCAGCAGGCATGCGTGAGCGTGTTTGATAGGAGTGAATGGAGACAAATGGTTTTTAATACTTGACGTGCTGTTGGAGTGTGAGCAAAGTAACATTTATGAAGGGATTCAGGGAAACCGGCAGGCCGGACTTGAGTCCTGGAGATGGGAAGTACAGTGCCTGCACTCTGAAGGAGGGGTGTTAATGTTGCAGTTTAAAAACTGTAGTGTAAAGCACCCTTCTGGCAAGACAGTGATGGAGTGAATGATGGTGAAAGTTTTTCTTTTTCAGGCCACCCTGCCTTGGTGGGAATCGGCCGGTGTGATAATAATAGCTAGAAAGTATATGTTTGTACATGTATGTGTAGTGTGACCTAAGTGTAAGCAGAAGTAGCAAGATGTACCTGAAATCTTGCATGTTTATGAGACAGAAAAAGGGACACCAGCAATCCTATCATCATGTACAACAATTACAGGCTTTCGTTTTACACTCACTTGGCAGGACGGTAGTACCTCCCTGGGCGGTTGTTGTCTACCAACCTACTACCTATATAAGTTAGTTTACCTTTGAATATTTCACAGAAGTGCACAAATATAATTAGAAACTCCTCCAAACTGTAACATCCCTACTCATCCTTTATAGTACAAACCAGGGTATGGATGTGGTTTGAACCCATGGTGAGCGAGTCTTAAAATTTCAGGCCAGTGCATAAGCCACTTGGTCAGCTGGCTACAATAAGCATAGTATTTCTTACCTCTAAAAGTTGCACTAAATGGTTTTCCCTGACATTCTTCATAGATATTGCTATTCTTATGCTTCAGATTAGTTACATAATTGCAGAGTGAGCTTTGAAAAAAGAAAAAAAAAGATTTAGATCTATCATGACTCAACCTGTAGTTGTTGGAGTGCCACAGGGAAGTGTCCTAGGTCCTCTATTCTTTCTTATTTACATCATAGTGCATATCATACCACAGGTGGGGTTGGAACCCGCGATCAGAGAATCACAAAACTCGAGACCATCGCCTTAGCCACTGGACCAGCTAGCTACAATAAGATTCATCCAACTAGGTATATTTCTACACCATAGGAAGTTTAGCATAGGCACCACTGTAACTACAAATGCAAGTTTTTACAGATTAATCTCCCTTCAAAGCCATCAACATGACTCACGAAATCGTAATGACACGATTGCAAACAAACCATACCACGGGTGGGGTATGGTTTGTGAGTCAAGGTCCATATATTAAGAAAAGAAAGGACCATGATAAAGAATATTCCAGGAAGTAGAGAGGTTTAACAAGGACAGACATTATAAGAAGGTCCACCAGGATGAGGGAACACGGATGGAAGTTCTGCATCCATAATGAACCACAGACATGAATGTATTGTATAATATAATAAAAGTAAGGAAGTGAAACAAATGGCTATCATTAAAGTGAAGGCTAACTCTATATATGAAAATTAAAAGGGCGGCCCATTAACTTGAGCTCAGTCCCTTCAAACTCAATACTGTAGATGATTTCAGAATCTGAGCTGCATTGTTTCCAACAGCTTTGATGATTAATGTGTAGCTGTAAATATAAATTTATTGTTTGTTTAAATTTTTTCTTTCAGATGCTTGTTCCAGCCAGTGCTAATGAGCTGAGAAGGGCAGGCAAATTTACCGTGTCCAGCCAGCAATGTGGCACAAAGGCTGTACAGATTAAGGTATTTGGGATTTTAAGAACATCTTTTATTTCTTTTACTCTTCAAGGGCAATCAAACCTGATAGCCTCTCATTCCTCCATTTCTGATGACCTGCTATGGGTTCAGTGTTTTCCAGTGAAAATAAAAACTTGTCATAGTACATGCTCTCCTTTCTGAAGGAAAGTAATGGGAGAGCTGAAGTAAATGGAGGGGAGGGAGGTAGTAAAATCACAGAATGGTGAAATGTGGTAGAGGATAGCACTGTTCTGCAAGATATAGTATACAAATTAAGAAGCCATTTTTCTTAAGCTTAATGGATGTTGAAATGATTTATAAACATCAATAAATGAGTAAAGTGAAAAGCTTATTATTGTACTTATGTTTGTGTTGTACTAAAGTTTAGGGAAAGAGTTGTTTTAATACTACAGAGTACAGTTATCTCAAGGGAGGTGTCTTGATGCTAGCGAGGAACACTTGACCCAAAGAATTGGACTTGTTTCTCCCTTGGATCAAACCTTATTTTCTCCCATTTTCCTAGGCAATGGATGACCCCTATGGGCTTAATGCTTTACAGTTATAATAATAAAATAATAAGTATCGTATTTAAAATTTTCATTAAATATAAGTTTTGCCTGTTACACTTTTTTTTTTTTTTTACACATCGGCCGTTTCCCACTGAGGCAGCGTGACCCAAAAAGAAAGAAAAACTCCAATTATCGAGAATTAATTATTTAGAATTAAAAAAAAAAAAAGATTTGAAGCATATCTGAAATTCGGACTTTTAATGAAAAACAAAAATTCAATACTCTTAACCTATTCACTGTCTCCTTCGTAGATCTTCATCAGTGACACCTGAGTCACTCGTGAAGATCTATGTTTTAAGCACAGCTCCCTCAGATATGCTGTGAGCAGTAAATTTGGGCCTATACTTAAGAGAATTGGTCAGTGTAATGATTGCACAGTTAAAAAAAAAAATCCTGCCCCCCCCCCACAATGCTTGATTAAAAAAACATTTCCATTGGAAATGTTCATAAAATATTGTGTATAATAACTGATTTTTATAGGTTCCTGTTGTGGCTACTGTGATCCAGCGCATTGATGGTGATGGTAGAGTGCACATGGATATTGAAGCACCTGCAGAGGATGAAGATAGCCATGATAACATGGATGCAGTTTTGGCTAAACATGAGGTTTGTTGTAATAGCAGTTGTATTCACATGTTCAGCACAGTATTTTTTTTTTTTTTTTTAATGTACAGTACATGAATATCATACTGTTCATTAACAAGTGTTTAAAAGTGATTCTAACCATAGATATAGAAAGGTATCAAGTATTTTACGTTTTTATGTATATAGAACTCAAAATGAGCACATGATACAAAACACAGAAAGACCATCTCATAGAATGAAAGAAACATGTAAAAGACTTGGGCATCATAATATCCAATAACCTATCATTTAGAGAACACAATTATGCAAAAGTAGCAAAGGTTAGAAAAATGACAAGATGGATAATGAGGACTTTCAAAATGAGAGAAATAATATCAATAATGATACCCTGCAAATCACTTGTACTCTCATTTGTTTTGTGCTCACATCTTCATTCAAAGTAGGAGATAAATCAGAGCTGGAAATTGTACAGAGATTGTTTACTGCCAATAAAGTATTTAAACTACTGAAAACACTTCAAAGTACTTGGATTGCACTCTAGAGTGGAGAAGTGTGTGTTATCTGATAATATATAAATACGTGTTCTTTGACAGCAACTCGAAAGATTAATTGATCTGTATATTTTGATCCACTGCTGAAGAGGCTCCCAGAAAGGGATCGAAGTACTATACTGATCAGTTAATCTTCTGAGTTGCTGTCTCCATGAGGGTTATTACTGAGCATGTACATACAGTACATGGAAGATACTTTACGGCCTAGTCCCAAATCTACAAACTACAATAATGACTGCTACATACCTTTCAGGAGCAGGACTCCAAATCTCCAGCCTCGCCTGGCACCTCTGCAATCACTGTTGCAGAGAATGAAGTCCATGTCAATGACCCACTGGTCATCAATCCTGCTGTTGTCCGACCGTAAGTGTGCCACATTGCTCTTTATGGAGAAGTATTTATCTGACAGTTTCTTATGAGCTAAATAAAGGATGTTTTTATCAGTTGTTTACCAAGGGGATGGGAAGATTGTAGTGTGTATGACTTTCCAGATCAATTCCCGAGCCAGTCATGGAAGGTGAGGAAGATGATGAGCACTCGATGGATTCATCTATGCCTCACACAGGGGGTATAATCATTGGTGCCATGGGCGAGAGTGAGACTATGAGTTATGCAATTGATCAGGATGCCTCCATCACAGCTGGAGACTCTGAAGCTAATGAAGGAATCAACTCTGTTGATCTATTAGCTACTGCTGTCAACCTAGTGTCCCAAGCTCAAATGTCAAAAGGTACAACAAAAATAAGCATAATTCAAGTTTTGTAGCAAAAAATATTTTTTACATGGAGACGTATGTGTTTCCTTCCTTGAGTCACCCTAAATTAGTGGGACACAGCTGATATGGTGAAAGAAATAACTTTTTTTTTTTTTTTTTTTTAACCCCTTCAGGGTCCAAGGCCAAAATCTGAAGTGGTGCCCCAGTGTCCAAGAATTTTCAAAAAGAAAATTTTTTTATTTTTTCTTATGAAATGGTAGAGAATCTTTTTGTGAAGGTAATAAAACAAAAAGTATGAAATTTGATGGAAAATTGACGAAATTATGCTCTCGCGAATTTTGATGTGTCAGCGATATTTACGAATCGGCGATTTTGCCGACTTTGACTCCCATTTTAGGCCAATTACATTATTCCAGTCGACCAAATTCTTAGCTATTTCACTAGTATTACTTCTGTTCTATCGACTGAGCACAAGAAATCACCAAGTCAACTGTTTCAACTACAAAATAAAGTGATCGGAAATTGTTAATTTGGCCAATTTAACACAAAGTTCAAAATATTCCAATTTCAAAATAGGGTCCAGAATAAATAATGTAGGTATTCCTGGCACTAAACTAACATTTCCTCTGTTCATTAGTTACGTTTTGAGGCTTTACAAATAAATTCTATTTTGATTTTTTATTCACATAATGAATTTTTATTCACACCAAAAAATATAAGATTTACTGTTATGCAGTATTGTAATAATTGTGTAAATATCATCACCACATTTGTGAATGTATATTAGACCCACCAGCTGGCATGTATTAGACGTGTGAGGTCGTTTGTTTACTCTTGAACATCGGCAAAAATTTAACATTTCCGCTACTTCGAGCTCAGTTTCAAGCCATTTCCAGTGCTAAAACCAATCAAAATCATCTCTATTTCTGTAATATATCTTCCATTCTATCAAATGAGACCAAGAAATCGCAAATACAACTACAAAAAACATACGAAAAAACACTGCAAATTAGCTGTTTTAATCGAAAATCATGGTCTCAGATTTTTTCTCTCATTATACACAGTGTGCTGCAGGATTTGTTTTATGTGGTGCACACATACCACATAGATGTATTCTCTCATATCTAGGCCCAAATGTACCACTCAGTTTATCAGAGTGAGCTGAGCTCATGGCTTAGATCTACGGTTTGGACCCTGAACGTAAAGCCGTAGATCTACGGGACGGGCCCTGAAAGGATTAACACTGGCTGTATCCCACCAAGGTAGAGTGACCTGAAAAAGAAGCACGTTCACCATCATTCACACTTTCACTGTCTTGCCATAGGTGCACAGATACAACAGTTTAGAGGTCCCTCATTCCTATGAGGGACATCTGCCAAATATGCTATTTATATTGTTCCTGTGTGTTTCATACTTGACTGGAAAGGTTGATCTATGGTAGTACAATATTCATTTTCATGTTTTTTTTTTTTTTTCCTAAAATATTCCTTTGTTGAAGAGGTTGGGCTTATTGAGAATATACGCAGACATTTGATGCCTTCATTATTAAAGATGGAAAAATTTACATAGAATTTCACATCCTGGTAGCTGAGACCTATGTGAAGGAACATTTTACCTGTTGAAACAAAGTAATGAGATAAAATCATGGGAATTATGATACTTTGATGTATTTTTTTATATTTTGTCATTTTAACTTTTATTCTGGTTTCAGATGGGTTGGCTGGCATGGAGGGCATGCAGTACCTGCGACAAATAAGTTTAGGGGAGTATGAAGTAGTTCCACCAGATCATGCCCAGGCAACACACATAATGAACCAACATGGTCACATAGAACAAATAAAGGTACACTTTGTTTTGCAGTTGCTAATGAATTTCATTTTAAGTCTTGTTTAAATTATACAAGTGCTACCTCTGGTGCCCTCAAATTCAAAATTTTCAAGACCAGCCTTTTTTTTTTTTTCTCTCTCTCTCAATTTCAGTAGAAAATAAATACAGAGGCAATACAGATTTTAATTGTATTTTTTGTTCTGTCTTGATGGCATCTTATATATTGGCATAGGCTAAGACTTTTTTGAGCTCTACATTTTCAGCAGAATTCTTTTTTCCATTGTGTATTAATCTACAGATGGATGATAGCAATGCAGTGACAATGGAACAGGCCAACATAACTGCCTTGATGGATGCCTTGCAGAATGCTGGGTACCACTTAGGTACTGGAAATCAACACATCATTATTAACCATGATGGCAATGCCATGGTAGTAGATCAGCAGGTAAGCTAATTGTACCATGTATGTACTATCATCATGCTCATGCACTTATTTCATACTTGTTTTTATTGTTGCTCTAAAAAAAAGAGAGTTTCAATATGAGAGCATCCATTTATAGTTGATGAGAAATAGTGAAAAAATAAAGGAAAAAACATTGACTGACATAGTCAGGGAAACATGGTACTGACAATTTTGTTTAATTTTAATCGTGACATTATCTCTTGCAGCAAGTGCAGATGGTTATAGATGGAGACATGGAAGGTGTGATAGCATCAGATGAAGTTGGCAGTGAAACTGTTGACCCATCAGTTAATTTGGTTGTACATGAAGTTCCAGAGGTGAGAAGAGATACGTTGATTTTTTTTTTTTTTTTTAACACTTTTCGTTTCCCACCATGGTAGGATGACCTGAAAAAGAAACGCTTTCACCATCATTCACTTCCACCAGTCTTGTCTGGCTAATCGATTTCCCTGAATCCCTTCATAAAATGTTCCATATTCTCTTATACATTTTGCTGCAATTTGTACATTCATTTGGAACTTCCTAATAAATACTTCAGAGTTAAATATCATGAAGACATGTAAATTCTCTGTGGGAAGTGGAGAAGAATCCTCCTAAGTCATGCATGTCATAAGAGTCAACTAAAATGCTGGGATCAAGGGCTATTAACCCTTTCTCTTGTATAAATTACTAAATTTAAAAAAGAAAAGCTTTTGCTTCTTTTTTGGGTCATTCTGGCTCGGTGAGACAGCCAGTGTGTTTAAAAAAACAATTTTAAATAAGTATTTTTTTTTTAGTAAGGTTAATTTGCTGTCATTATTAACCTTTAAATTGGGAGTGACAAATAAATCAGATTGCCTTGAAGCTTAACTCATGTACATATATTAATAAATCATCTCAGCCATTTTGATTATATACCATATGCAAAGAAAAATATAAAATGCAAGCTACAGCATGTTTTTTGGACAAGTATGTACCGTTGCTTTTGAACTTGTTTTACTATGATTTCATGGCATATGCCGTGCTCCTTCCTTAAGTGAATGTGACCTGACGTGACTAGGTTGGGGCATTGCCTTAAGCCGTTAGGAGACTTGGACCTGTTTCACATGGGCCAGTAGGCCTGCTGCAGTGTTCCTTCTTTATGTTCTTAAGACAGTGATAGAGTGAATTTGTCACCCTACCTTCGTGGGAGATGCTGGTGCCAGTGTGTTAAAAATAAAAAATGTACGTACCTGTCTATTAGTGTGTTTCACATAAAAATAAATATTTTCATTCGTGTGTTAATTTTTATTTGGCTTTTTGCAGAGTATTCAAACAAGTGACAGTGAAGTGGGAAGCTGAATATTAAATACTACTGAAAGTGAATAAATCTGAAGTACATTTCAATCATTTGGCCTTCAATACTGTGTTTTGGATGAAATGCGGCTTTGAAAAACAATTGGTCATAACTTAAGAGGAAATTATATTCCTGTTACTGTTTTAAGGTAAAATTGCCAACAGAAATTGTGCAGTTGTGTTTGTAATCTACTATATTAGTAGATAAAATTTTAGTTTAGCTGTCTTAATAAGTAGTAATAATAATAATATCAAAGGCTTCATTGTTTTATAAACGATAGCAATTACGCTTTGAGAATAACACATGTTCAAGAAAAGAATGAAATGCATTATATCAAGAAAAGGTTAAGAACTTAGCTGAAGTTAATAAATACTTAATGCCAAGTAACCCAAAGGTTTGCTTTCATTACATATAAAGGTGTATATTGATGAGAGTAATTGTTCTTTGGAGTAAGTTAAAAGTATGAAAGTTTGCAAGTGCCTTCAAAATCATAGTATGTATCCTTGTATTGTATTATGACCTATGCACTGTTATATATTCTTTTTCTTACTGCTGTTGACAAAAGGAAATCATGACACTTGAATGATATTATACTTGTTTACAATTAGATAATGGAATGAAAATCACTTGATTTTGTATATTCTAGGAACAGAGAACATTTGCATATAAATATGTCCTATGAGTAGGTGTATGCATTTACATAAACATAAATGAAAAGACGGTATATACCCCAGAATGTACTTGGAGCCTGGTGCACATAAACATACACAATACACACATCGCTCACTTCGACACATTGCAAGAAATGTTACTTCTAAAGTAGAGATGAAAATGGATTTGTATGTGCCTTGATTAGTACCTCAGTATATTGTATGGTCTTCAGCCCAGCAGGGAAGTAGCAGGTAGAATATAAGGCACAGTGCATCAGCTAAATGCATAGTCTATAAGCCCTGCAGCAGGGAGTGGTAACTTACATTGCACCTTAGTTTACTCTTTGTTATTTACAATATTGGACACCTAGGGATGGCTAATAGCATTTTTCAGTATTAAAATCATAGTATTTGATTTGCTACTATCTCTGTTGAGAGAAAGCTAGTTGTCTTACAGTGTGCTTCTCTTCACTGTCTCCTACAGTTTCAATCCTGTGATAATCAGTTTCAGTATTCTTCCCTTTCTCCTCAGTTTGAGGAGCTGTGGCCTTGTTCATGCATAGAAGTTGGAACAGTCAGTACTACTGATTCGTTTTTGGAAATTAACTGAAACTATTGGATAGATTGGTAAGTGTTAGCTACCATATCCAGCACATAATCAATGTTTTATGGCAGCATTACTTAGTGCATTGTAAAAGAGAAGAAAGCTAGTAGCTCATGAACTCGTGATATATTGTATCACCTGAGAATTGCTGAATTGTTTGTTTTCTTATTTATTTATTTATTTGTTTATCTGTTTATTTATTCAACTCTTCTGAGAACAGGTTGGTTTAGTCCACTGGGGTGGTCCATGTATAGTTCGTATTGCCTGTTTTGTATTACCTCTGTTTACTCCATTGATGAGAGGTGTCAATCTGCTGGTACACTGTAATCAGTGATGGTATGAATTGCGTGGAGATAATAAATTAAAATTTCATGACTAGTGCCAGCATGTGGATTGTTCATGGCTTTAATTACCTTAATTATGCCATACTTCTGAGGCATTAGCCTTTTGTTAATCCAAGTACCAAGGTATTGCTATGAGGTAACCCATTCCAGTTCAACATTTTGTATGGGAAGTATGATGTCTGGATCCTTTTCTTTGATCATCAGTGCCTTTAATTTATCTTCCTGAATCTTTTTCCTCAAGGGAGGTTCGTTGACACTAGTGAGGGACTCTTGACCCAAAGAATTGAACCTGACTTTCTCTTCCCTGGATCACACTTGGTCAATTTACATTTTCCTCTTTGCCTTCCTTCTTCATTCTGTCTCCCTGCTGAGGGCTCTTTGCCCATATTAGTGTGGTGGAGGTGGAGGCTTGTGTGTACTCACCATCCGTCCAAAACCTCCTTAGTGGCATGCAGCCTTCCTCTGCTGCAATTTAATATCCATCAAGACTGCTAACCTCTGAGGGGATGGGGGTCTTCACAAATGTGGTCACTCGTGTCTCTGATATAGAAACACCTGACAATATAATTGCTTATATAGAAAATTCTGACCAGTGACCTTCACACAAAAAGGTGAGGTAATTAGAAGAATGTGCTCTTGCCTCAGAGCACACAGCTGTTGATTCTCAGGACACCCTGGAGTGTGTTGCACGTTTTGCCACTTGTGTCCACTTACCTCCTCTTTGACTCATTTTCATCTTTATCTCCTGGTCTTGTACTTTTTGCCTGTTACTAAAACTAGTATCTCCCCTTTCTTCACATTAAGTTTTTTGTTACGTTGCATCCTGTGCTGTGCAACCATCTCTTGATTTTGTTGCGTTTGTGTTGATTATCTTGTCTAGGGATATGTTCTTTTTTTTCTTCTTTTTTTTTGTATAGTTTGCCAGGAAATTCTGTCTCAGGATACAGGGAGAGTATTGAAGAACTTCAATTGTTGCTTTTCCAGTTTGTCCTTATATGTACAGTATTGTACAGTACTTGCTTAAAATAAATGGCTTTGTGTACTGTTGGTCTCTTCCCGTATCTTTTTTTTTTTCTCCTTCAGTCGGTTGATCCTTACCCTGATGCTTGTAAGAGAGTGCACTCCTTGTTCATTCAGATATTCTCTTCCCTAATAATTCTTTTCACATTCTGTTCCACTATATTGTAGCCCGCTTTCTACTTCCACATGTTGTATACTCTGTTCCTTATAACACTACGAGTCCTTAGAGGAGCTTAACACAATTCTTATTCCTAACACTCGGTTCTGAACTAAGTACATCCTGCTAAAAGTGATTTTATTATAAACAATTTTGTGTGTAAATGGTATGATTTGAGCTTGACAGGGGTTTGAAAAATACAAGAGTTCTTACTAAATTATTTTACCAATCTTTAGAAGTAGTTAAATTTATGTATACTAGGAGAGAGGATTTTTTATTAATTTATTATTCTTGATATATTTATTGTAAATGTACTAGAATGACTGTAATTCTTCTGTTGTAATTTTTATAATGAACAGAATTTTAATTCAGTATATACTTTTTCATATTTACCATTGCTGTAATTAGGCCAAACCATTTCAGTGTTTTACAGTTTTTTAAAAAGTAATCATTAGATTTGGACTGTGATTAAAAACTGCATAAAACCTTCCAGTCTGGAAATAACATTTGTTTTACTGTAATTATTAGTTACTACCAAAACTCAAGAGTTCCTTTATGATTAGAGGTATCATAGGTCATAGTGCCATGTGATAGCAAGATGTTTATGATAGAAGTACAGCAGTTATGGTTAACAAGTAACTCAAAAATGAAAAAGTTCTTCCAGCACTTATTGGAAACTATTAAAAACATGTAGTTTCATAATTTGTATGTAAATCTGTAATCAGTATTCTGTACATATTTGCATTTCTCACAGGCATAATTATAGCAGAAAGTTTTAGCAGTCAAACACTGGCAATACAAAAAAGGTAGATTTTTTTTTTGTTTTTTTTTGTGTGTGTGTGTGTGTTTATGTGTGTGCATTTAGTGATGAACCATGCTGGTCATATAGCACAGTGTGACACCAAGGCTCAGTTCTCACTTTACTAATCATAAGATACACACAGACACGCACATGCACACGCGCGCACGTGCGCACACACACACATGTATTTGTCATAAGGACTAGAAAACTTCACTAACTGAGGGAAATATCTGTGCTACATTGAATTTTGTGGATGTTAATATTTTATTTTCATTTATATTTCAAAACACGTTTATGCTTGAAGTTCTGAGAAATGCTTTGGAAACGGTAAACTTGATTGTGATATTAGTAATTTAATTCGTATTAAAGCCATGAGATAAACTAAGTGTTAAGTGATTAATATTCTTCTTTAGTGACAGAGAATCACATTGTTCTTAGATAAGGATGTCGAGTTGAAGAACTGCAAGTGTGTATTGGAATATATGCCTTTTATTTGATTGCGTTTTGCGTCATCTTTGGTACAGCATTTTGAAGGGAAATGGGATGTTAAAAATTCATGTACAGGTATGATGTAAATTTTATTACTGTATCTGCTTTAGTAGAGTATTTCTAGTTTTGTCCTTTAAATACTTTTGCTGCATAATACACCCTTGTTATTATACAGGTCGGCCATCACTAATCCGGCAATCAGTTATCCGGCACTAATTTTGGCTAGCATAATTTCAAATTTCATCATAAATGAGGAAGATGTAACAAAGTCTCTACTGATAGGTGAATTGTATTTTAACCTAACCACTCTGTAATCCGGGAAACTCACTGATCCGGCACACTACTGGTCCCAATGATGCTGGATTAGTGATGGCCGACCTGTATTTGTAACATTCATAATTGCTGTATAATTGTTTGTTCATGCTATTGTAACCAAAAGTTTTATATAAAGAAACTATTTTGTACTATTTTGTGTGATCTTTAATGTTCTTAATGTGATTACCAATAATAATTATAAGTAAAATCTGGTACTAGTTGTTTTGCCAAAGTATTAATATATAAGTTGATAAGATGTACCGTAAGTACCTGATGAATAGTGTAGTGCTGCTCGAGTTCAAAGTTCTGCTGGCAGTTCCTAGTTTATTTTTCTTTATGTACTAAATAGGGTTGGAATGTGTGTTTACAATTGCATTTGTTTGAAATTGTGGTTGCATTACGATGTACTGTGGTGTAAAGGAATTACAGAATGCAGTTTCTAACAAAATGAAATGTTTTATTATCCTTGTTCATTACAAAGGTTAAAATGTTATTTTATTGATCTAAGGGACTTAATGAAACAAACCTTGTTTCACTGTGTCTGAGGTTGCTGTTCCTACTGATTTTTTAACTGTTTAACTCGAAAGGTTCCTCATTTTGTGAAGATTGACATGCTAGATCAGATTATAGTCTTCATTAGAGCTATCAGTTCCACTATAGCTCTTGACATACAGGTGCTGGTACCCTCTCAAATGTCTGACAAATTTCATGTCATAAGCTGCCAAATTTTTACTTTGGTATACTTAACAGTGCTTCATAATTCTTATTCTAGTATGTTTTCTTTCCAATTTAGGTCTGGTTTGAGACTGGGAGCTGTATAATCCTCCGGGTTTAGCGCTTCCCCTTTGATTATAATAATAATAATTGAGACTGGGATCCAGTTTCCATGATGTCAAGAACCTCTTAACATATATAATGGATAAATGGCAGCTCCATACTGTTTCTCATACTCTCAACTTGCCTTCTGATGTGATTCATTAAGGTTGTAATTGCCTAAAATAATAATTAGAACATGGTAATAGTATACACATTTGCAAGGTACATATAAACCTCTCAGCATTTAGTACCAAATGTTCAGAGAACAGGTCAAAGTTCTACTATGGGCTTTTACTTCGGTCTTGGTAGGCGAGGTGGTGACTAATAAACCTATTTAAGTGTGAATATTGCCATAAGACTTGCAACAAATTAATGTACTCATTCACAAATTGGTTTATCAGGTTGTTTGCAAGATTATTTGCTGCAAATATAATTTCATATCAATTTAGCATAGACTCAACCCTCATGATGTTTTTAGGGAAGTGAAACCACGTGATCATGATGACGCTTCATTAGCATAAGACATTGAACAAAGATACAGTATGACTGGGATATACAAGTTATCAGTAAAAATACATGTATATTTAAAGTACAGTATATGAATAACACTTAGTTTTGTTTTTCAAAGTTCTAATTTACAATACTTATTCTAGATCAGCTCTTCAATAAGGGTTCTTTGATGAGGGGTTCTTAAAGAATTGAAGTTTCTCCTCTTAGATCAAACTTGATTACCTTGCATTTCCCAAGTGCTATTTGGCCCTTAGGGTTTAGAGCTTCCCCCATGAATGCAGAGTAACAAGTGTAGATCAGTTTACTCAATGAAAGCTCCTTGATGCCAGTGAGGGGCTGTTGATCAAAGGAATTAGACCTGACCTTCCTTTACCTTTGTGGGTTTAGTGCTGTATAGTCCTTGTGGCTTAGCGCTTCTTTTTGATTATAATAATAATAATGTGGGTTTAGTGCTTAGTTTTGATGGTAATAATAATACCCTGGATCAATCATGATTACCTCCCAGGAACTAAATAATCTCTACTGGATTATAATTCTCCTTCCCACCCAGGAATGTAATAATACTCTAGATCAGACAGCAACGCCCCTCAAGGGAGTTTCTTTGACGCTGGTGAGGGGCTCTTGATCTAGGGAATTGGATCTATGCTTCAGTTCCCTGAACTAATCCTGAATACCTTCCCCCCCCCCACATGTGCTGTATAATCCTATGGGTTTAGCACTCCCCCATGATTATATAATAACCAGACAGTAATGACATGAAAACTACATTATATTTACAGAAAATGCTGCACTGTATGATCATTGTAGGTTTAGTGCCTCATTTTTTATTGTAATTTACAGAAAATAGCTGGACTGATTCAGGACAAAAATAATCAGGCAAAGGGAATATTGAGCCATAAAGTTGGTGAAATTCCCAATGAAAGTAACCCAATAGGACACCAATTATCTTGTTCTAATGTGAAAAACCATTTTTTCATGGAAAGTTATAGAATAATGTAGGTACTGATAAAAGTATTTCATGAATCCCTCTATTCTAAGGTAACATAAAATAATTGTAAATCTGATGTATGGTACTATATTGAAATACATGTACAATTTGACCTTACATTTTATATAGTATTTCATAACCCAAAAGGGTTTAGCCCACACTTTGAACATAATTTATATATTTCATGGTAAAAGTATCTTGTTTTAAGATTAAGAAGAGATACGTACATTGTAAAGGACTGGACAAAAAATACTTCTAGATAAATTCATATAAAGGTAAGATCTTTAAAATATCTATAAAGTGACTAAAGAGAAATATTGTATGTAGAAGAAATTAAATGGAATTTTCTAGGTTACCCGTGTAAAAACTCGATACCTAAGTTAGTCTTAAGTGTTTTGCCGAATACTTTATAAGATGACGAGTTTTAAAGCTGAGCATTCCAAATGAAGCCAGTACTGAATGACTTCCATAGTTGGATGTTTGTGAATATAATAAAACTACTACTAATCCAGATGAAATGTAGTCAAAGTATTCGAGATGAGAGACTTATCAGTGGTGGTCCTACACAGTTAATTCTGAAGACCAAAGATTTAAATGAAAATAATTGCAGACAGACCACTGCCAAATATCCCACAAAATACTGTAGCAAACTGGATACAAAATGTGCAATGAACTCTATTGGTCTATCAAATAGTTACATTTTTAGTGCCATATTTGACATTAGTAGCATATAATAATTACACGGTGCAATGTGACCCACACAGATTTAGAGCTTTTTTGTGAATAGCGCAATAATTATGGAAACAATGCACTGAAAGAAAACATGAACAGGAAATGTGCAACCATGTAAAGGTACTTAAGGTGAAAAAAATATGACAATGAAATATAAACTAGGATGAATTATGAACCTAAAAAGCTCCCTGGTAAGGGATTGTACATGAGGATCTTGTATTAAGTTATGTTAATTTAGTTGTGCAGCACTCCGGAATTCGACTGGTTTCTTTTGCTTCGGTACTGGAATGATGACATCGATGCCTGAAGGCTCCTTGCGAACAACAGACTGTGGGAATAATAATAATAATAATAATATTCCTGAGGCAGCAACTTAAAAAACACCATTTTATCTATATGACATTTTGTAAAGCTAGAACCATGCAGGTTGCACACAGCACTTCCTAATGAATTTTCTGAATTTTCCTTAGAGGAGGTAGGTGCCATGATGCTAGAGACTAGCTCGCTGTATAGTCCTTGTGGCTTAGCGCTTCTTTTTGATTATAATAATAATAATAGAGACTAGCTCTTAATTGAAGCCATTGAACTCATCCTCCTCTTCCTTGGATTGAACCTGAATACCTCCCATTTAAGTAGTGCTACATGGTCACTATGGGATGGATGGATGTGTTAGTTTGTGTGTGTGTGTCTCACTTTCTCTCCCGATGTATATGCACTGAAATAGTTATTTTAATTCCTGTATAAAGGATTAAAGTATTAAAATGTTCTTGACTGGTGGTGATGTTACTTGCACCCTTAATGATGTGTAGTTTATAGGTTTAAAACCCCATTAACCAATCATTTCTTGGTAATATTCCCAGCCAAGTCTTGCTAAAGAACCCCCAACTAACATTATGACCCATTATGGGTTCTAACTCCATGCCATGATTGCAATAATTGGTGTTACCTTGAGTCCCTGTCCATCCTTGTTGTCTTCATAAGTGACGGTGTAGACGAAGCCATCTGGGAGGACGTAGCTGTAGGAGCCCTTGACGCGGCCCTCAGCGTCGGACACCTCGGCTCTGTTCTGGTAGTTGGTTGTGTTGTCATCCCTCACTTCGAAGCCGAAGTTGTATGGCTTGGGTACCTGTTTATCAAGGAGGATAAAGGAGAATATACATTTTATGATTTTATCTGGAAGACACACACATGTACAACTGCTCGTCCCTCACCAGAAGTATGTATAGTGCACCGTATTCCCATCATGTTTGACTTTTTTGGGTTATCCTAGGTAATCTATATATATGCTGCTATGTTTTATAATTTATGTAAATTTATTTATATCTACCTGTACCTCAGTAAACTTACTCCCCTCAAGGGAGGTTCTTTGATGCCATTAAAGAGCACTTAATCCATGAAACTGGACTTGCCCTTCCATTCCTTGGATCAAACCTGAATGCCTCCCAGGCACTATATGACCCCTATGGGTTTAGTGCTTCCCTATAAATATAATAACTGGGTGGCTGTATAGCAAGAGGTCAAAGAAGAATATACTTTTTTGTATGTGGAAGAAGATACACGAGTACAGCTAATGTTCACTGTACTTGTCAATACTGTATAATATTAATAATGATAAAAAAATACCAACCTCAGTAGTAGTGGTGGGATCATCATCTAAGAAAACTCCCAACTTAGCAGCCAGTGCCACTGACACCAGACCCAGCATCACTATTACCTATAATAAATAAATTTAATAAATAATATATATGTCGTACCGAATAGGTAAAACTGGTCAATTAGCAAGAACTCATTTAAAATTAAGTTCTTTCTAAAAATTTCTCTTTATATGTTTAAAGATACATATTTTTTTTCATTTATGTTAATGTAAGAATTAGTAATTTTGTACCAAAAAAACCTTAGAAAACTTACCCAACCTTCAGAACAAGCGCAATTTAATTTTGCCTAATGCAACTAAATAAATTTTAGATAAGTTTACAATAATTTAAAAATAAACAAACACAATGAAATATATTTTTTTTTCGTTAGGTTCAGAATCATTTTTGCGAAATTATTGCAAACAAAAATTTTCGCTTGCCTTATTCGGCAAGAAGAGCGTTGCTATTTAAGCCCAGATCGCAAGTTCTGCCTATTCGGCACGACACACACACACATATATATATATATATATATATATATATATATATATATATATATATATATATATATATATATAATATATATATATATATATATATATATTTCTTTCAACACACCGGCCGTATCCCACCGAGGCGGGGTGGCCCAAAAGGAAAAACGAAAGTTTCTCCTTTTACATTTAGTAATATATACAGGAGAAGAGGTTACTAGCCCCTTGCTCCCGGCATTTTAGTTGCCTCTTACAACACGCATGGCTTACGGAGGAAGAATTCTGTTCCACTTCCCCATGGAGATAAGAGGAAATAAACAAGAATAAGAACTAGAAAGAAAATAGAAGAAAACCCAGAGGGGTGTGTATATATGTGCTTGTACATGTATGTGTAGTGTGACCTAAGTGTAAGTAGAAGTAGCAAGACGTACCTGAAATCTTGCATGTTCATGAGACAGAAAAAAGGACACCAGCAATCCTACCATCATGTAAAACAATTACAGGCTTTCGTTTTACACTCACTGAATAATAATAATAATAATTCCTTTGAAAGCTCGTTACCTCCCATACCCCTAGGGGTTTAGCGCTTCCCCACGATGACACAGCACCAGGAGTGACACAGCAACATCCTGACTCTTCACTTTCATTCTCTCGAAAGACGACAAAAAAAAACCTGTCTCGGGGCCGAGGAGCCTTCGTAGACCCCAGCCAGGTGGGTCACTGTCTTATTCATATCTCCTTTATTTATACCTGCTTTATTTACGTCTTCTTTATTCGATCTAATGAAGATATTAAGTAAAACTAACTTTATTCGACCCCCCCCCCGTCAAGGGAGGTTCCTGGACGCCGGTGATTGAAGGGCTCTTAATCCGGGTAAGTGGGGCGAAACTGCTTGATTTCTCGCCTTCCAGACGTTGTGTGACCCTTACCGATTTAGCGCTCCCTCCAATGAAGGTAATAATGGTAATTATCTTTTAGAAATGGCTGTTACTTTCACTGCCGCTCACCGTAGAGGTGCAGGAGAGTACCAGGTCAAGCTCCAGGAATACAGAGACAGTATAATAACCCATGTGACATGTCAAGATATCTTATTAATGAAAATAAGATACCAGATATACTAAGCAAATTTCCTAAATTTGCTTGTAACAGATAAGTGAACTATAGATATGTAGATATAAATCCATATGTATTCCTGTTAACCCCTTGGAGCCTAGTTCCTAGGCCTTTTGTGTATCCATATGCTCTCGCGCTACCGTCCACAGGATGGATATGGGGTGCACAATAAACTAGCCACTTCGGTGGCAAAATCTAAAAAATCTAATCACCTTTCCACTGAAGGGTATATATAACTCCCATGGTGTATATAGGTGGTATGTATCTGTGTATATAGATCCATATCTGGGTATATAGATATATATCTGTGTATATAGATGTATATCTGGGTATATAGATGTATATCTGTGTATATAGATGCATATCTGGATATATAGATGTATATCTGTGTATATAGATGTATATCTGGATATATAGATGTATATCTGGGTAGATAGGTGTATATCTGTATATAGATGTATATGTGTATATAGATGCATATCTGGGTATATAGATGTATATCTGTGTATATAGATGCATATCTGGGTATATAGATGTATATCTGGGTGTATAGGCGTATATTTTTATATAGATATATATCTGTGTAAATAGGTGTATATTTGTGTATATCTGTGACCAGGTGTGGACGTGTCAGTGGCTCATTTCTTTGTAATTTGTTCATGATTGTAACCATGTAGAGGAGTGTAGATGGTTCATTACCTTTGTAACTTCTAATGACTGTGACCAGATCTACCTGGAATTCATTATCTTTGGAACTAGTTCAGCTATCATAACTTTGAGGCCCAGTTCCTGGACCCATTATATACCTCTGTAATCTTTTGACTACCGCCCACAGGATGGGTATGGGGTGCATAATATATTAAACTAAACTCTGTGTATAATGTATACTTCTTAGTGTATACCTCTCACACCCACTCATGTATTTCCCCAACCTATTTTTATAGCTACAGTACTTAAGGTTCTCGCCTCAATGATGCTACTCTGGAGTTTTTTCCGCTCATCTACATATCTATTTCCTTTTAATATGGGTGTTACACTGCTTCATGTGTCTTTGCTGTGTACCTGTGTGTTGGCTGCCTCTCCCACGAACCAAGGGATGGGTGGTAAGACATATAGACAACAGTTAGGCATCTATGTGCCTTACCCCATACCCATCTTGTGGGTGGTAGTCAAAGGATTACTGAGGTACATAATGGGTCTAGGTACTGGGCCCCAAAGTTTTGATAGCTGAACAAGGTGCAAATATAATGAACTTCAGGTAGATCTGGTCATAATCGTGACCAAGTTACAAAGGTAATGAACTCTAGGTAGATCTGGTCACAATCATGACGTCAGTATTGTATATCGTTTTGATATTCAAGGGATGGGTGTTGGGTCTGGAAGTGGGCGAGGAAAGGAAAGGTGTGCAACGCTCACCTCAATATAACGTTGGTAAAAAGTGAAGGGCAAGAACCGGCGAGACGTGAAAGGGAAAGTCTTGTTGAAGAGATGACCGCCAGTGACCCCCTCCTCAACCTTCAAGAGTGACCTCCACTCGCGAGGGATCTCCAGCTCCACCCCTCACAAATGACCTCCCCCTCATAAATAACCTACACCCCTCCACTCACGAGAGACCTCCCTCTCCACCCCTCACGAGTGACCTTCCCCTCCTCCCCTCAAAAGTGACCACCCCACCACCCACGAGTGACTCTTCACAAGCACCCAAACAAGTGACCTTCCTTCTAAAGTGAAGGGGAGAGTTAGGTTTAGAGGGGAGGGGATTATTATTATAATCAAGGGGGAAGCGCTAAACCCGGAGGATTATACAGCGCCTGGGGGGGGATGTGGAAGGCATTCAGGCTTAATTCGGGGAACTGGAGCACAGATCTAATTCCCTAAATCAAGAGCCCCTCACCAACATCAAGGAACCTTCCTTGAGGGGAGAGGGGAGGGAAGCCAAGGTAATAACAATCTTTGACATTATGCAATATATTGTACCCACGTGTACCTACTTGGGTAAGTGGACGTGATTTCATGCATATACACCTATATCTACTGAAGAAGATCGCAATTGGGGGTCGAAATATAGACATTCTTCTTATTTCAAGTTTCTGTCTCCATGTGACTTTCTTTTTTGGGTTATCCTAGGTAATTTACACATAGGTTACTATGTATGATAATTTGCGTAACTGTATTTATGTGTACCTGTACCTACATAAACTTACTTACCTGTTGGTTACGCCATCGTGAATATACGATCTTCCAGTCTCCAGTCAGTTTCTTGAAGGCAGCGACTGAATTGTATCTTAATGGCTCGGTTAAAGTTGTTTTTGTGCTCGTTGTGGGGACGGGGGTGAAGCTATATTAGGTGTTAGCTCAGGATGGGGGGCAACATGGGACGAGGCAATCACACAATTACTCTGTGGCGCAAGAGCAGTGTGGAAAGGGACAGATGGAAAGCTAATTATAGTCTGATCACGACCTTTGCTGAGAGTGAAAGGAAGCGAGAGAGACGTGTGGGATGGATGGAGGGGCCATATTTGAGATGGGTATCACCACCACGCCCAGTGCCAGGCCAAGCACTGCGCTGTGTCCCGTAGACCCATCATGTACCTCTGTAATCTTTTGACTACCGTCCACAGGATGGGTATGGGGTGTATAATAAACATTAAACTAAGATCGATCGCTAGTGCACTCAGCTCACACACTGAAGTCCGGAGTTCGAATCTCCTACGGTACGGCTGGAAAATTTTAGGGACGCGTTTCCGTAAGACACCTGCTGTACCTGTTCACTCATCAATAATAAGGGGTACCTGGGTGTTAGTAGACTGGTGTGGGTCGCATCCTGGGACAAAACTGACCTAATTTGCCCGAAATGCTCAGCATAACAAGGGGCTTTCTATATAGCAGTATCTCATTGATGTCAGCTAGGCCTGACCCCCGGAACTCTCTCCAGGTAAACTCCAGGTAAACCTTGTACATGTAGTAAATAAAATTATTATTATTATTAATATTATTATTATTATTTACATATAAATGTAAGCGAATGAGTATGTATATGTTTATATAGCGTATGGTAGCTGTTGGTGAATATATGAAGTTCACACAAACTTATATGTGAGACCAGCTCAAGGGTGCTCGTCACTAGGATGGTGCTCCCACCTGGCAAAGTTTACACCGGGTTGTTTTCATCCGCTGGAAAACCTAGTCCAGTTGTTAAAAGCAATAACCTACGAAGACATACTAAACGAGCTAAACCCTACAAGCCTGAAAAGAGCAGAACAATGGGGAGACGCAATTACGACGTACAAGATACTCGGAGGGTTGTATAGGGACTAGATAGACTGAAGGTGGGAAGGGATCGGGGACAAGTGAACATGAAAGATGGAAATGAGTAACAAGGATGTCAAAAAGGATTTCAGTCTGAAGGGATTTACTATGTGGGAGACAGTAGTAACTAGCAGACAGTGGTGATGGAGGAAGAAGTGTGTGAGGAA